TAACAGCATCATCTTTTAAGATTTTAAATAGTTCAACTGGAATGGCATCACCTCCACTGGCCTTGTTGTTTGCCATGCTTTCTAAGGCCCACTTGACTTCACTCTCCAGGATGTCTGGCTCAAGGTCTGCAACCACATTGTCTGGGTTGTCCGGGATATCCCAATCTTTCTGGTATAATTCCTCTGTGTATTCTTGCCACCTCTTCTTGATGTCTTCTGCATCTGTGAGGTCTCTCCCATTTTTGTCCTTTATCATGTTCATCTTTGCACAAAATGTTCCTTTAATATCTCCAATTTTCCTGAACAGATCTCTGGTTTTTCTCTTTCTATTATTTTCCTCTATTTCTTTGCACTGTTCATTTAAAAAGACCCTCTTGTCTCTCCTCGCTATTCTTTGTACGTCTGCATTCAATTTTGTGTAACTTTCCCTATCTCCCTTGCATTTTGTTTCCCTTCTCTTCTCTGCTATTTGTAAGGCCTCATTGGACAGCCACTTTGCTTTCTTGCATTTTCTTTTCTTTGGGATGGTTTTTGTTGCTGCCTCCTGTACAATGTTACAAGCAGATAGCAAAAAAAAAAAAAAGTTTGCTGCTTATATACCGCCCCACTCTCGGGGGGGGGGTTACAAGTTAATTATGCAGGCTGCATATTGCCCCCTCTGTACTCCTGAAAGTTGGGTACATTTTACCAACCCCTCAGAAAGACAGAAGGCTGAGTCAACCCAGGTCATGAGCACAGTTTTGGCTGCGATACAGCAGTTTAACCACTGCACCACGTGTGCCACTAGGCTCCAACCATAGTTCTTCAGGCATTCTGTCCATCAAATTGAGTTCCTTAAATCTGTTCTTCACTTCCACTGTATATTCATAAGGGATTTGGTTTAGATTATATCTGTGAAGGGGATATTTCTGTTTGGACATGGAGAATCAGTGATTCATAAGCTAAAGATGTACCTACAGACCAGCCTTTCCACAGACTACTATGTCCTCTCAACAGCCTTGCTCTGGGTTGTTGGTATTATTTGCTCTAGGACTTTGGATAGTTCTAGCTTCTTACACCTCATGGATGGAGAATGTCTAGATTCACCTGTTTCCTTCCACATTGTTCCATACTGAATAAAGGTGATAGTTATGTCTGTAACTCCTCCTTCTTTTGATCTGGTAGTGATCCAATTTCTACAAACCTAAATAGGCGAAATGTGCTCCACTCCTAGCTTTGATTAGCATAATTCTTGGGTAGATTAGGCATCCTTCAGTTTCGAGAGACTATGGTAACGTGCTGTATATGGAGGACTTGGAACAGCGTCTAGTGTGGCTGAGAAGGCCAATTCGAGAGTGACAATCCCTCCACAATGAAGACAAATATAATCTGTCCCCTGTCCAGCTCCCTGATTTTGCTGCTTCTGTGAGTACCTCTTTGCCTTGGCCTGCTGGACAAGGGTCTCTTTAAATTGGGAGGGGCCGTGATGCAATGCCTGCCTCCAGGCTGAATGCTCAGATGTCAGGGTTTCCCATTTGTTGAGGTCCACTTGGGTAACACTTGCGTATCAAGTCACAAACATTGTTCAGCTGTCCCTGCTGAAAAAAGAATAAAGCAAGTTTACTAAAACTATGTGTTTGTTAAATATAAGTTTAATATCCAGTGATGCTCAGGATTTGTAAATACTAATTCTTTTTCCCCCACCCCCAGACTTGCAGATGCTGCATCGACAACTGCCCACCACTAACCAAATGATCATGGACAACGTGAACCCTGCTCTTTTAACATAGCTACCTGAGAAGTTGGATGGTAAAGCCCCCTTGGCAATTGTGCAAGTGACAATGGCAGGAAGTGGCGGAGAAAGTCAGTTGCAGAGGATTATCCGAGATTTGCAGGGTAAAGTGCTTTCTTGGGCCTGAATTGAATCAATCTTTGTTCCCTGATGCTTTTCTAGTGCTTTTGTCAATTAAGTTATTGCTCTTTATCTCTCACAATTAATGCTTTTTAATTTCTTTCAAAAGATGCTGTGACAGAACTCAACAAAGAGTTTGCAGAAGGGGGAGAACCAATTACAGATGACTGTATCAGTTTGCATAAACTTTCCTACAAGCTTGAGTATCTTTTGCAGGTAAGCAACAACTCCATGTAAAAAGGGGGCCTTTATTTCTTGAGCATGATCACATTTAGAACACAATGGCTGTGAAATCCTTTTTGTAGCATAGGAAAAAGTGTAGTTTTCTGTCTGTTCCTCTCTGATAGATTAAAGCACTCTGCCTTGATTACACACGTGCACGCACTTAGACACATCGAGAATTGCAGCAGGAATGCTTTACTTACCAGGGAGGAACAGATGCTTTGGCTTACACTATGAATAGAATTTTGGCCAGTGATAATCAGAACATATACTTTGAAAAGATCTTTCGTGGTGAACTACTCAGTGGAAATCCGCACATTGAAATATTGATAAGGTCAAAGCATGTTTTTATGGCTGTGGAGACATTGTATAATTTGTCTATAAAACACATAATTTTACTGAAGAACTCTAGTAGTAAGTATTGTTGTGAATTTTTAAAACCCATACATAAAAACAGTGCCTATAAAAAGTGTATTACTCTGTATTTTCCAAAAATAATTCCTTACACTCTTGAGTTGCACTGTGACCGAGAAATGGAACCCATGATGAGACTGGGAAAATAGGTGACGGCCCATTTCTCAGTGGTTGAATTTCATGGCACATACTGGGTGAAATCCTCTTGTGTATCTACTCAAGTATAAATGGTGATCTCAGTCCATGACTTCTCTTTTTCATTTAATGCAATTTAAGGCTTCCTATCTTCTCTCCCCCCCCCCATACACCCAAGTGCAGGATGGAACCCATGATGAGACTGGGAAAATAGGTGACGGCCCATTTCTCAGTGGTTGAATTTCATGGCACATACTGGGTGAAATCCTCTTGTGTATCTACTCAAGTATAAATGGTGATCTCAGTCCATGACTTCTCTTTTTCATTTAATGCAATTTAAGGCTTCCTATCTTCTCTCCCCCCCCCCATACACCCAAGTGCAGGGTTCCAAGGCTCCCTAAGGATCTCTTTCAACCTCGGGTAGCCTTTGGGAGCCTTACAGCAAAAGGAAATCATTAATACATTTAAAAAATGATGCTGGAGTCAGGTTGCTGCTGCTGGGATTGAGATCACCAGTGATGATTTTCAGATGCTCAAAACTCTCCCCGCCTATTCCAAGGCTCTCAAAGGCTTCCCAGATCAAAAGGGGTCCTTAGGGAGCCATAGAACCTGAAAGGGAGGGGAGAAACTTTAAATTGAATTAAAAAGAAAAGTCATAGACTGATGACATAATTGCCATTTACACTCATGTTGTTATGACAGCTGGATATCAGCTTCATGTCTTGTTATGCCTGTATGCCTAAAACTAATGGAGAGGACTAAACGCTTGCAGTTCAAGTCAACAGAATGAAATTAACTTCAGCCCTACTGGTCTAACTAAACTGATCTACAGATCAAGGAGAGCCATTTTTAGGCCTTTGCATATTTATCCATATTTGTAAACATAGTCTAGAATCCTATTAGTTATACCCACCAGGTGAGTTGGTGCCTTTTAAGAAGTCATTTCCCCTTCACAGATTGCTGCCTTGTTGGGGGGAAGGGGCTTGAGTAATTAAAGTGAGGAGGAATTAAAGAACCTCTTAATGAGGGTGAAAGAGGAGAGCGCAAAAAATGGACTGAAGCTCAACATCAAAAAAACTAAGATCATGGCCACTGGTCCCATCACTTCCTGGCAAATAGAAGGGGAAGATATGGAGGCAGTGACAGACTTTACTTTCTTGGGCTCCATGATCACTGCAGATGGGGACAGCAGCCACGAAATTAAAAGACGCCTGCTTCTTGGGAGGAAAGTGATGACAAACCTAGACAGCATCTTAAAAAAGCGGAGACATCACCTTGCTGACAAAGGTCCACATAGTCAAAGCTATGGTTTTCCCAGTAATGATGTATGGAAGTGAGAGCTGGACTATAAAGAAGACTGCCCCCCAAAGAATTGATCCTTTTGAATTGTTGTGCAGGAGGAGACTCTTGAGAGTCCCCTGGACTGCAAGGAGAACAAACCCTGAGTGTTCACTGGAAGGACAGATCCTGAAGTTGAAACTCCAATACTTTGGATATAAGAAGAGAAGACTCCCTGGAAAGGACCCTGATGTTGGGAAAGTGTGAAGGCAAGAGGAGAAGGGGACGACAGAGGACAAGATGGTTGGACAGTGTCACCGAAGCTACTAACATGAATTTGATCCAACTCCAGGAGGCAGTGGAAGACAGGAGGGGCTGGTGTGCTGTGGTCCATGGGGTCATGAAGAGTCGGACATGACTAAACAACAACAAGAAGAAGTCATTTGGTATTGCATATAAGTCACATGACCTGGTCTATGACAAGAAATCTCTAGGCTGGCTTCTTAACTTCCAGCAGTTCGTCACAGAAACTTATGCCTAAGGTGTTAACACCAGCAGATGAGTGCATAGGATTCTGTCTATTGAGAGCTGTGCCACTTTTTTGTTATGATATTTGTGAGGAAATTGTATTGTTTTGAAAAAAGAAGACAGTAGTTTGCAAGGCTCTGGTTTGAAGTGATGTTTTCCCTTTTTTTGTTCCTCAGTTTGACCAGAAGGAAAAATCAACTTTATTGGGCAATCGGAAAGAGTACTGGGATTATTTCTGTGACTGCCTGGCTAAAATTAAAGGTGTAAATGATGGAATTCGCTTTGTCAAGTCCATTTCAGAAGTAAGTGAAGTGTACCAGTTAGCCATTACAGTATAGTCATATAGCAGAATGTTCTGGCAGGCCAGACCAACAGTACAGGATATAATGGTGCAGGAATTCAATATATATACTGGCTGATATTTTGTTTCCAGTAAATAAGACTGATAATATCATGAGACAAGATAATTAAAAAAAATTCAGTCCCCACTCCCCTGTTCCTCCTCCCCCCCCCCGGAAAGTCCTGAGGCTCCCTTGGGGTCCCCTGTGTGGAAGACCATTGGGGGCTGTGGGACAAGGTGAAGTTTTTTTATTTCTGAAACTTACTGGAGGTAACTGCCTGTGGTGATTTGGGGAAATTAAAACTCCCCTCTTGCCCATACTGCAGCCCCCAATAGCCTCCCCACAAAAAAAGGGATCCCAAGAGAGCTTCAGGGCCTTCAGTTGGGGGGGGAATTAGAGAGTTTTGATTCCTGAAAATGCAATGCAGCTGATTATATCACCAGCCTTACACAGCATGTCATACACCTGAATTTCAGCCACTGTTATCTAGGCTCCAAAATGACTCTATTATTAGGCAGTGTGAAGTGAGCACCTCAGGCAGCAGATGCTGGGAGATGGCAGCAACAAGATAAAGGAGCCACTCTTGTACATCCTAAGTTAGTCTGCTGCCTTTCTGTGTGGAGGAGGCTCTTCGGTTACCAGTGCTGAAGGACGATTCAGCTGCCAGTCTAATCAGCTTTGAGATGAAATGGAAAGGATTGCCATCTTTCTGTTTGTCCCAGCAACAAGATACTTTGGACCAGTCCTTGCGTCCCTCCTTCCATCCCTAAGTTCCCTTTCTTTACAAAAGGGGTTTAATTACTTCTGACAAGGGCTGACCAAGTACTACTACACTTGTGATACCTGTAAAAAAAAACTCTTCAGGCATTGAGCATAAGGTTAACTTAAACACATGAGTAGAGGCCACAGGCTAGTCTTTTCCTTCCCCCCCCCTCTCTATATGCAAATAGGAGGGCCTGTGTTGCATGTGGAGATTCTCTGAAAAATCAGGTTTTCTGATCATGCAGAGAGGCTAAATATGAGGATATTATTATCTTTAGAGTATGACTCTCCAGTTGAATATATTTATTTAGCTAGCTTGTATACCACTCCATAGTGCATGGTGCTCTCTTGGGAGTTCACAGCTGTGAATTCAATAAAATAAAACATGCAGTAATATATTATAAATGAAGAAGATGGTGGACCTAGCTTTTGTCCTATCCTGGACACCTGAACAAAGCTGAATTATATGGGATAACAAATGCTGAATAGGGCTATTGTGTATGTCAACATATATATGTCAATGTTGATATGTTTGGTGCTTTGATAACAGTAATAATTACAGGGTGTCAAGTGAATTCTAAATCATGAAGATGTTTTCCAGGATTTTCAAGTTATAGAGTACTCATAGGTGTTTACTAGTCCTCCTTGGGGTGCTCTAGGACCCTTTTGCTTTTTGAAGACTACACAAGCTGGCTCTTCTCCTGCAGCACGCAGTGGAGAATTGAACTCCCAACCTAATGTGGCAGTAGAAGAATACTGTACCATAAAATGTGAATATGACTCTTCATTCCCCCTGCCCCTCCCTACTTTAGATCAGTTCCCTTTAAAATTAAGGCAGACGAGGCTGGTGCATACAATGTTGCTCTTTTTCTCCATGTGGGCAGTCCTGACAGAGACCTCATCTATTAAAAGAAAGAAGTAATGTTTGAACTGAATAGCCAGTCACAGATTCAACCAGAAAACAACAGTTCCTGTAATCCCTTTAATAGCATTTTCTTTCAGCCAATCATAGGAAATGCAGTCTGTTGTACACGTTATTAGCAGTTCACTCCTTGGGAGTGTTGTATCCAAAGACGATTGAACAGAAAATAATGGGTGGGCAAGCCCTTGCTTGCTTCTTACAGGTTACAAAAGTAGGTACCCTGCCAAATGCCTTTTTTGGTTCCTCATGTACCTTTGAACAAACACAGCTCTTCCTGTTCCCGCTTCTGCCAGTCTGATGCCTTTTGACAGGGATGTTTTCCCCATCTTGACTCATAATAAGCTTCCTTAATTTCAAGAATAATGGTTAAAGCCTCTTTCCCAGTACAAAAAAAGGAAGGAGCTGTTTACACGTTTATGCAAGTAAATGCCTCCAAGGAACAAAGACAAGTGTAGCTTTGTATAGATCTTAAGAAGGCCACAGGTTTGGCCAAATGAATGATTACTACATTCACAGTCAGCATAAGGTGTGGGTTTCTTATTATTGGTATAGTAGTTGGCTAGAAAATCTGAGGCCTTCCAGGGCTTGCTGGATTTCAGTTCACATCAGCTCCTGCCGACCCGGGCAATGGTGAGAGCTAATGGAAGCAGCAGTTTTCAGCAGGTGGAGGACAGAGGATTCCCTAGACCTGACAGAACAACCCCAGTGTGTGTGGTGCCTTTTTTCAAAATACAAGATGTTCCCACTCTGACCAAAGGAAACAGTGGAGGAAATTGGGGCCATGATGTGCAACAATGTCAGTGGCACACAATGTATTGCAGGAAAGCAGGCTTCCTCAGTCTCAGCAGAGTAGTGGGCCTGCAACTTCACGTATTCCCCTGCCACATAATCAATGGCTGTGCTGGCTAGGGAGGATGGGAGATTCAGTACTGCAGCATCTGGAAAGTGGTGGATTGGGGATCATATTTAAAAAAAAATACCTTAAAGCAAACATTGACTTTCGTGCTACCGTCCAAGAAGAGGAAAAACAATTTTTGACCATTTTTTGTGTGGTGGGGGGGTTGCATTTGAAGCTGAGGGGCACAAAATGATCCCGAGGAGCTGCATGTGGCCCATGGATCATACTTTGCCCATTCCTGGCATATGGTCTTTGGACCTTACACCTTCAGTAGACTACTTTTCCATGAATATGTCTGTTCCCTTTTAAAGCCTGACCATCTATTGGCTATTGAGATTACTCACCTTTTGGCTTTCCCATTAATGAATTATGCATTATCTGGAATAGTACTTTCTTCAGTCTGTGTTACCCCAATGGTCTGGGTGATCCCACATGTTAGCAGTGTCAGAGGGGAGAAAGGACCTTTATTTATTATTTATTTATTCTATTTGTATTCTGCCTATCTGGTCATTGCGACCACTCTGCTCATTCTGCTTCTTATGAAAATCTTCTATGCCATCTGTGCTTCTGCTCTATATCCTTATATTCTTAGTGGCAGTTTCACCCACCTAAAATAAATTAGACACTGTTCTTTCCCATGCATAATCCCAGACATGAGCCTGCAGGTGGCAGGCTTGAATTTATTATTACTTTTCTAGATTGCTCTTCAGACAAAGTGCCTCTCAGAGCCTATTACAGAATCAAAGAATTTTATGGCTGGGGAGGGACTTCGGAGGGCATCTATTGTAACCCTATTTTGTACAGGGATGTTATAATTACAACAAACTGATATGTATGGTTTTCCAGCTTCTTAAACACGTCCAGTGAGGAAGATCCCATTGCCTTCTGTTCTGCTTTCAAATGGCTTATACTATTTAGATGTCTTGTTCCCATAAAATTTGCTTCATTTCCATTTTGGATCATTAGTTCGCATTCTGCTACAACAGAAGAGCAAAGCTGCTCAATTTTCTGCTTGGTGGCTCTTTCAATATTTGAGGACAAGCTATCGTATCTTCCCTTTAACTTTTTTTTTGCCACTGCAGCTTAAACACACTCAGCTATTTCATCTGTTTCTTAGTAGTTTCCAGCTGGGATATTGTCATCTAGATGGGAGCTAATTTGTAGGCACCTTTCTTAACATGTGGCATCCAAAACTGGGTGCAGGACCCCTGCAGTTTCCCACTCTTTGTTTCACCTTAAAATCCCACCTCGTTTCAGTCTTTTGAAAAGGACAACAAAGTTACCAGTAAGTGCCCGCTCCAAAGATGTTTCATCAGCCTTATTCTTGCACTTAATGAGTTGATTTGATTAGTTAACAGGATGGTCCAAACAGGTTAACAGAGATGTTTATCAAGTCTGTTAATAAGAGTTAGACTTTGTATATACAAACAAGATTTAGACTATCCAGAGTAGTATTGTGATGACACCAGCTGAAGGAGGGATAAGTAGAAGGAGCTAATTTAACTTTATGGCTAGGAGAATGAGCTGTAAGGTCTAAGTCCCTGCTTCAAATATCAGCTTAGGAGAACTTCAGGTGAGCTTCCATTCCTCAATCATCACATTAGTACTTGGCTAAGTACTAGTTTATACTGTCAGTAAATAAACATATAAAACAGGAGTGGGCGAACTGTGGCTCACAAGGCATATACAGCCTCCTCTAGCATGGCTTGCATCTGACATCTCTCACAACCCCCATCACCTTTTTGGCCCAAAATAGCGTTCTTCCCACTCCCCCTAGTATATTGGATTACAGTATAGCCTTCCATGATCCAAGGGAGAGCAAAATTGGTGCCCAGGCCCTAGGTTGTCTGCGTATGGCATTGTACAGTACAGTATTATGGTACCTTCTGTCTGAAGAGTTTTGAGCAATGAAAGAAAATCTTTCAAAACTTTTCAAATGTTTTACTTATTTATGTGGTAGTTACGTTATCTCTTCCTTTCCTCCAGTGAGCTCAAGGCATGGTAAATAGCTTTCTTCTTCCTTCACTTTATCCTCACAACAGCAGTGTAAGGTGAGTTAGACTAAAAGATGGCAACTAGCTCAAGGTAACCCAGAGAGCTTTACAGCTCAGTCTGAGGTAGAGCTGGAATCTTACAACTCCAGTCTGGCCCTTTGACCAAAATACTGCACTGACTGTCAGTGTTAGAGATATTGGCTGCATTTGTATGTTTCGAGTCATGCATCTTGGCTTCACCAACCGCCATGTGGACAGGTATGCTGGGGTATGAGGCCCATTTGCTCCTCCCTTTGTTCAAGCAAATTAACAGGAAGGGATAACTTCATATCAGGTCCAAGCCCAGGACATGTCTGAGTGTGCCCAAAAAAAGATAGGAGTCATAAGCCAACTTTTAAAAACCTGGCTCACATGAAAGGATGTGTGGGGCATGAGTGAACAGAGTGTGTATTGTAGCAAGCTGCTGGCTCACATTGTGGTTTATTAAAGCAGGATCCTTGGCTTCACAGAACGTGAATTATATCCTGCTTTCAAGTTTTTTTAAAAAAAATATTGTACTCTAACGGCTTTAATTGTATTTTTATATTTTTAGCTTACTGTGTTTTAGTGATATAGTCTTTGAACCACATTGTAAGTTTTGCCTTGGGTTCCACTTCTGGGAGAAAGGCAGTATCGAAACGAAATGAAGTAATAGTAGTCATCAAAGAAATCCAAAAGTGCCATTTATTTTCCAGGTAGCCCTTTGTCTGATCTTCCCCAGGAACACCTGAGACCTAAGGTGTTCCCTGGGGAAGATGAGGGTAAGTAAATTGGAACTTCTTATTTCTCAGAACATATTTACATTTTGCTTATTTATTGGCCAAAATCCTCTTGCCTAGTTATACCTGCAAGTGTGCTTTTGGAGATGAATTGCCTCAAATTAAGAAATCGCTGTAATTATCTGTTGTGTGCTGAATCGCACAAGTTACCTTGCAACAGATAATTTTTGTGGTGATTCACCTTTAAAAGTTAAGCTGCTTGTGCAGGTGCTCAAGACGCCATCTTATCCCAGTTTGAATATATTGTTTGTAATGTACTGCTCTATGTATGAGATCCCAGGCAATCGCCTGCTCTCTTTAAAAAGGCCTAGTGTTTGTACAGCGATGGCATTAATGTCTGTGGTTTGATTGATATAAAACCAGGGAAGAATCTACTCCATTGGCTGCTGGTTTTTAATGCAAAACACTGGTTTTGCAAATTATGCTTATAGATGTATGGAGGTGTATATTACATCCTCATGTGTGGTGTTTTCTTTTTCCAGATCAGAACATCCCTTGGCAGAGGCAGGGCATTCCTCCGTTACTGTTTAGTTCACCAAAGGCTGGCAGACACTTTGCAACAATGTTTTATGAATACCAAAGTAACAAGGTACATGCCATTTGCCTTATTTTATTTTGTTCATCAAATTTATGTTCCGCTTTTCTGTAAAATGATGCTAAAAAAGACTAACAACAGTGGCTAGAATCTTGTTGGTGATTTACATGTGCATAAGTTAAAATGTACAGTTCAGAGCAGCGAACTGATATTTATGTATAGCATACTAGTTGCATTACTAGGTGCATGTTTTTAGTGCATTCATGAACATTCCTCATAATGTGAGCAGTGCCGTGTTAGTTAGTGGCAGTTTGCTGCAGAGGGTTACACTGCTTAGCTTATGCCTGTGTAAATTGACAACAGGATTCTGGCAAATAAGAAGTACACAATAGAATCTCCAAAAAGGGGGAGGATCAGCAGTATGGTGTAAGTAAAACCAAGCTAGATAAAACATAATTAAAGTAGTGAAAATAAACAGTTAAAATTATACATAGCCAGATCTTTCTTGGTAAGGAGTTGTTTTATTTGCCAGAGCTACATATACTAGAACGTTAGTCTTCAAAAGTAATGTGTCCAGTACTTCTTAACTACCTGTACAGAACATCTTAATATTGTTACCTAGGTTTCAGAAGTAACTTTATTGCATTGCTAGTTTTGATTGTTGTTGTGTGCCTTTAATTAAGGGAGGGCTGCTTTATTTTTAACCTGAAAATAGCAGTCTTGCACTGAACATTCTCAGCTGCCATCTAACTTTCTGGGGTGTGTCTGGCATCTTCCATGGCCCAGCTCTAGGCTGCCTAGGAACTGTGACCTGTTGCCTTGCCTACTTCCAGGGCTATATAGTTGTGAAAGGAGGAGAAAGACAAGACCGCCTGTGTTTCTAAGTAGCACGGGATCCTTATTTGGAAGTTAAAAATCGAACAGAAGCCTCTCCCCCTCCACCCACCATTGCATAGAATTAATGTTAAGCAGTAACAAATAATGTGATGATAGCATTACCGATTGTGTTCAAAGAGTAATATGAGGACGTCATTCTCTTATTGTGAATGTGTAATGTTATTGCCCTTTGTTACTTAGAAAATAATGCTAATGGTGTTACCAGAGCTTTGTGAAAGTAAGTTGTTCCTTTACTTGTTCGTTGCTGTGAACACATGTTGTGGACATTGCCCTAGAAACCAAAGCAACTTGTTTATCACTTGTTACTGCTTCTGTGTTGCTCTGAAAATTATTTTGATTATTTCAATCCAGGCACCTACCCACACTCCTTGCACTTCCAAGGAATTCCTATTGCTCTGTTAGTAGAGTGTGCTGGGCATTAGAGGAGGTATGGGTGGCTCTGTCTCCAACACTTTTTAGTGTGGAGCAATGAGAGTTATTAGTGGAGCAGTCTCTAGATGAACTTGCAGACTCCAGGTATTACTTTTTAACACGTTAGCTCCAATCTCTAGGAGAACAAGAGAGAAATAAAGAAGTGCAAAAAAAGCTGGCTACTGTAGAATAACTGTCTCTGACAGTTGGCTTATAGTCTTACCTGCTTTAAAAGAGGAAGAGAGGGAATAGGGAAGCCAAAGAGGAGGATGAAAAAAAAGGTAACTAGTGACAGACGAAAGATAATTATCTACACCCACCCGGAGTAGACTTTGTCTAAAAGGGCAGGATAGAAATCAAATAAATAAATAAATAAATAAATAAATAAATAAATAAAATACTGGCAAATCTCTTAGTGATCTATGTCTAAAAGCTCTTGTGATCCATAACAAGTTGACAGTAGCAGAAATTATGGATTTTATTTCAGAAATTCCTGATATTTAGTCACAAAGATGTGGGGCAAAATCCTGTTGCACAAAGTTACACTGATGTAAACTGGATCCAATGCCAGAGATGTTTAATTTATGCTAATTGAAAGCTTCATATTCTCATCCCCTTTCAGGTTCAGAGACTTCTTAGGACTCCCTTTTGCCCTGGGAAGCTTTGGAAGCCTCAGGATAGAGGAGGGGAGCTTTTAATATTTAAAAAACAAAAAAACAAAAACACAGCTGGATCACCACCACTGGAATTGGGATCGCTGGCAGCAATCTTGTGGTGGTTTTTAACTAATAAAGACTTTCCCACCATCTTGAGGCTTCCAAAGGATTCTCCAGAACTAAAGGGAAATCAATCCTAGGGAGTCTCAAAACCTGAGAGGGAAGAATAAGAAGCTTTTTTCACTTAGTTTAAATTAAATATTTCCAGTGCCAGGTCTGGTTTATGCTGGCATAACTGTATGCCAACAAGATTTTGCCATATGTAAACAGAGATAATCCTGGTCTATGGCATATGAAGAGTTTGGAAAACTTACTTTTTGGATTATGGCTTTTAGAATACCCCAGCCAGTGTGGCCACTTTTGCACTTTCTCTAGCAGAAATTTTGTAAGCTAGCTCATAGAGGTCATTGTCATCTCCCACCCTGTTCAGGTGTTATTTACATGAAGAGGGTCACCACACATAGGCCTCTCTTCTCAATTTCTCCAAATGGAAAATAACCTCTATGCAGACGGACTATTGTTGACATATAACCTCTACAATGAAGTAAGAATTTCAGTTTTCCAAGTTTTTTGCTCATGTATAGAGTCTGCAAAGCTGCAGAAATATCTTCGGTGCAGTAGCATTGTTTTCCATGTGGGGAAAGAAGCAATAGAGAACAAAGGGGATAGTGGTTCCCATTCCTGTAAATCAGCTTCTCTCCTTCAGTCAGGGCCCAGAGGTCCTGTCTTCTGTACTCACCAATTTAACTTCCTAGGGTGATGGCCAAGTGGGCTTCAGTTGCTGATGTGTCCGTATGGATTAGGTACTGTGGGTGAAAGTAATCCCTGAAATACGTCAGGCCCAAATATTTTAAAAGGTTTTTAGAAAATGGCACACTGGCAGATATCACATGAACTTAACTGCCTAGCCCCCAGAAATATCCACTGGTTTGTATTATGCACCAAGTGAAATTTCTGAACTATTTTTAAAGGCAACCCCATGTAGCCCCATTATGATAGCCTTGACATTGCAAGAGCATGGATAGAAAGATTATGAATCAGCTGCACAAGCTGTTCTGGTGGAGGGAGAGAGAGAGAGAGAGATGCATACACATGTTTGTGGCTTATATATTTCTGTGCTAAATCCTCACACAGGATCTCTAGAAAAGGCTTGTTAACATAATACATTAACAACATAATACATCAGATTCAGTTGAGAAGGTAATGTTGTCATGCTGTATATATTTCCTTGTTTCAAGATTTAATGGGTCTTTCTTTTGAACAAATACATATAGGATTGTAAGTTCTGTTATGTTTTCTTTTTAATGGAAATTGGTTGAAATAAACCTTTATTGGATTGTATATTATATATTTGTGGAAGGATTTTTTGTGCGGAACAAGATCATTTTTGTTTTTCTCGCCACAGAGACCTGTAAGCCAAGCTGTTCAAAAGAAGTAGGCTATTTTGTGGTAGGAAGACTGCCATTTTGATAGAACCGCATCGCCTTTCTGAAAGATCCTGAAAAACCACAGTGCAGCACCACACATCTTTTTGAGAACTGTGAATAAAAGCTGTTTTTAACTTACTACTTGCAATCCTTTTTTTTTCTCTTTCCCTTTAGTGACTGGTATTATGTAAGAAGTCCCTTCCTTAACCCAAAAATGACTTCGGATATCATTGGACACTTGTATGAATTAACTGAGGTTCAGTTTGATCTTGCCTCTAGGGGCTATGACCTAGATTCAGCATGGCCCACATTTGCCAGGTAATGTAATCCAGCTGCTGCTGTATTCAAAAGTGATCTATAATCTGTATACAGTATTTTAAGGAGGTAGCTGGGCTACTCCCTTTACAATAAAACCCACAGAGGGTGTTGTGGCACCTTAAAAGACAAGCCTTGTTTGGCATGTGCTTGGTTTGTTGTCCAAAGAAGTGGCCTCTGCAAAAGCATATGCTAACTAAAACCTGTTAGTCTTCAAAAAGCCATAAGACTAATTACTAAATGCCAAAAGAATGCCATTCTGGGCATTTGATGTATTTTGGCAGTAATGCTAAATGCCAAAATACTACAGTACAACAATACACCCATATTTTCCTATATGAGTTAATGGCCAGATGGACTGTTCCTTTTCTTGTCCTGATACGTCTAAGTTGAATCCTTCTGATAAGTTCGTTCCATCAGAATTCAGAAGAAATAAGAAATAAGAAATGGTTGTGCTTCAAAGCCCTTAATGACTAAATGATCAGTGACTCAGTCATTATTTGTGGATTTATACCACTGAAAGTGACCCATCACTTCCATTATACATACACACCTATGACATACGGTAAAATACCCAGAAACAGGAGATATGAGGGGAGTTTTCATTTGCCATGAGCCAGAGGGGGCTGTTTAGCATTTAATAAGTATACAGAACTAAAAGCTATAGTATGTCTGTTTTGCTGAGCCCAGTTTTGGCTTTTATCAACAGACTCCAAGAGTGATCAAGTTCTATTGGCAATCTGTGCTGCTGAGTGCACATATTCTTCTCAGTTTATCTGATGTAGGTTTGTGTCTGTAGGAAAGATACTATGTTCACAGTCATTGCCTTTTAGGGGAAAAAAAGTGAATATATTCCTTTTCCATTTCTAGGAGAACGTTATCGTCATTTGGCTCCTCAGCGTACCTGTGGAAGCCTCCAAGCCGCAGTTCCAGCATGAGCAGTTTGGTGAGCAACTATTTGCAGGTAATTGACAAAGGTGTGTGAGGGTAACACTTGCTTGGAAGTATCCTTGGTGCTCTGACAGTTTTCCTTATGTATAATCATTTTGTTCTGGTTCATCATCATTACAATGTGAAAAGTGAAGAACCTATTGTACAACCTTCATTATGCTGTTATGCTAGTTGGTTGCTCAGCTCTTCTGATTATCTGATCTCACTGTGTTTCCTGTGTAAGCTCCATAGGAAGTCGTGTTCATCTGATTTGCCCTAAATGTTTTAAGGATTCCATAGCTCTGTAAAGAAATGTCTTCTTTTAGGAGAGAGCCAGTGTGGTGTAATGGTTCAAGTGCTGAACTCAGGAGACTTGGGTTCAAATCTCTATTTAGCTATAAAGCTTAGTGGGTGATCTTGGACTGGCCATATTTTCTTAGTTGGACCTACCTCACAGGGTTGTTATGAGGATAGCATTGAGAGGAATGTAGGCATATATGCCTTTTTGAGCCCATTCAAGAAGAGGAAGAATATATATGTAACAAATTAAATAAATAAATAATAGTCTTCTGAATGGATTCAAAATACCAATTGATTCTTTTAAAGAAGCAGCAGCTCTTTTTCTAACTAGAAGCTTTCCTTCTTGTTCTTCATAGGCCCAAGAGATTCCTTCCAGTCCCAACAGCAATAACTTTTTGAACACGGAACCTCTTGAGGGCTTTGATGAGTTGCACATGGAGCTTGACCAGGCTGAGCTGCGACAGAAGGAACTGCAGGAGCGAATCCAGCACCTGGAAAAGGAGAACCAGGAGCTTCAGGCTGCCATTGACTTTGGGCAGCAGCAAGTCCAGACTGAAAGAGAGAAGAGCAGCCATGTCAGCAAGGAGAATTCCAGGCTTACAAAAATGCTTGAGGAGCTAGAAAAACAACGTGAGATCTCCCATTGCACCCAGGACACTGTTCAGGATCTGCAGAAATGCTTGCAGGCATTAGAACTGAATGCTGCCAACAAGGAAAAGGAATGCTCTGCAAGGCTTGAGGAACTGGAGTCTAGTAAAAAAGACTCTGACTTAAAGGTACTTAACTTGAACCAAGAGCTAGAAAGTACCAGGGCTTTTGTAACCATGAAAGATTCTTGCATCAGTGAGCTTACCACGAAGTTGAAGTTTACCGAGCAGAAGAACAAGGAACTGTTTGCCAAAGCCAATGCCTTCCTGAATGAAAAGGAACAACAAGTTACCAATCAATGTGAACTGGCACTGAAGGTTGAAGAGCTGCTAAGGAAGCTTCATGAAGCAGAACAGGAGAAAGCCAATGCTGAGAGACTAAATAGCAAACATCTTTCTCAACTTAAGATGGTGGAAGACCAGCTCCATCTGAAAGAGGAGATGCAGAAGGGGCTTGAACTGAGATTGAGGAATCTCACTACTAGCTCCAGAGAAGAATCTGAAAACTTGCATATGAATCTGGAGACTGTCACAAGTGAAAGAGCTGTCCTTCAGAAAGAACTAGCAGCAAAAGGAAAGGAGGTGGTTGACCTTCAAATCCAATTGAAAGATTTATTAAATTGTGTAAAATCATTGGGGAGAAAACTTGAAGAAGAAACAGAAGAGAAGACAAAACTTGAGGAAGTGTCCAGCCATTCAAAAACAGCAATGGAAGAAGAAGTAAAAAACACAATAGAACATCTTGTATTGCTGGAAATTCAGCTATCAGAACTCAGTCAAAGAGTGAAGAATTTAGAAGAGCAAAAGAGAGAGATTATTTCTGAAAGGGACTCTCTCAGAAAAATGATAGAAAGAATGGAACAACAGGGTACCAAGCAGAACTCCTCCCTGAGAAACATGTCAGAAGAAAATGACAAGCTGAAGTCCCAGAATGCAAAGTTGCTGCAAACCAACCAGAAGCTAGAAGAGAAGTGGCAAGGGTTGGATGCTTCTAAATCTTCTTTAGAAGAAGAGATTATCAGACTGAGGGCCTCTGAGAAACAGCTCCAAAGCCAGATAGATGATGCAATGGTGTCTGTCGATGAAAAGGAGAAGAAACTCCGAGGAGAGAATAAGCTGCTGGATGAAAATCTACAGAATGCCACAAGGCAAAAACAAGTCCTAGAAGAAAAGCTGAACGCTCTGCAGACTGATTACCAAGAATTGAAACAAAGTGAAGAAACTGCCAAGGAATTCATAAGTGTCCTTCAAGCTGAGCTCCAGAATGCCAAGGAGTACGGATTGCATATGGAACAGAGCCTGTTCTCTTCTAGGCAAGCTGAAGAATCCCTGAAATTACAGCTCACAGAGAAAAGTGAGGCATTTCAAACCCTGGAGAGCCAATCTCGGGAGCTGCAAGGACAAGTGGAGAGGTATAGCAAAAAAGTGGAAGCCCTTGAAGCAGAAAAGACCAACATTGAAGAAAACAGCCTTCATCAGGCAAAAGTGATTGAATCCCTTTCTTCTGAAAAGATGTCTGTGGAGAAAGCCCATCTGGAAAAGACAGCTTACCAGGAGAGAGAAGCCAAAGAATTGGTTTCAAGACTGGCTCTAGCTGAGAAACAGTTGTATCTCAACCAAGTGGAGGTGGCTAGGCTTCAGGAAGAAATTATGGACCTTCAGGCCAAACTTCGGCAGACAGCTGTGGAGAATGAGAAGCTGCAAAACAAGCTGGATGTCCGTGGTACAGTCTTAAATGAGCAGAAGTCATTGGCCCAGCAGCTGAAGGAGCAAAGCGAACTGCTCAACAGAAACCATGTCCAGGAGCTGCTTCATTTTCAGGAACGGGAGGAAGCATTGAAAATTGAGAGGGACCAGGAAGCCTGTCAGAAGGCTGAGCTAGAGAAGAGCCTTCTAGACCTCACAGAAGAGTTGTCCAAGGTCAAGCAGTGTTTGGAAGCTGTTAATCTGGAAAATCTGGAAATCAATGACCTTCTTCACAGGACCAACACTGAAATGGCTGAGCTTGGCATTCAGATCTGCTCTTTGACTTCTCAAAAAACAGAAGCAGAAGAAAAGCTGTCTCAGGCCATGGAAGAACTCCATGCTACCAAAGAAAGAGCAGCCAAAGAACGAGAGGAGCTGCAGCTTAAGCTTTCAAGGCTCAGTCAGGAAAAACAAGGCCTACATGAGGAACTGGAGGAGTCTAAGCTTTGTGCTGCAGTTGTTCCTGACCTGCAGACTCAGCTGACAGTAGCAGAGAGACAAGCCCAAAGCTTGCAAGAGACCAGCAAAGAGGAGCTCTCTGCAGTCAAATTTCAACTAAGCGCAGAGATTATAAACTTCCAAATGAAATTTAAGGTAAGGTGAGCATTGGTCCTTTCTGGATAAAATAGGACTACAGTCCTCTACATGCTTATCTCAGAGAATCCAGTAGGATTTACTTCAGAGTAGTCATATCCACAATTACACTGTAATGATCATTGTATTGAATTGTCATATTACAGAGCTGCTACTGTATATGATGAAGTATGGAAGTTCTCTGTCATGGGCTGCTAATGAGTTTTACAGTTCTCCCCAGCTTAATGGCAATGGGCTGATTTAGAAAAACTTGCAGGCAAGACATAGTGTGGGAATGTTCCAGCCTCATTCCACTAGGGCAGCGGAATGCGCATACACAAGCACCATGTTTTAGCACATAACCATATATATAAAAACTGAATACTCACACTTGTGCATAGCAGTATTCAGACAGCATAAATAAGTTCAAATCTGGTAGGCCCAGAGACAAAGCAGACAGCATGGGTGGACTGGGAAGCTAGCGTTTAACATCCTAATCTTATACAGTATAGCTAATATAGTAGATATATAGTATAATGATGCAAGGAAGATCCATTGAGATTTGGCATTTTATTTTCATTTGCTAATACAACTATGCCGTCCCATCTCCAATTATGAGGATAACATATATCTCAGTACAGGATTAAATCCTTAGTGTAAGTTCTTGTCACCCTTTGCTCCGTTTTAAGCCATTCTAAATCCTTTCCCACTCATTTGACATCCTCATTTCCTCCCTTAATTTAATAAAGTATTTTGTAGTAAGTCTCTAATCTGAGAAGACAAAACCTGTAATCTTTGAAACATGGATAACATGTTTTTTTGAACCACACCAATGGGTGTTTTATGTATCCTTTTTTTGAACCACACCAATGGATGTTTTATGTATCCTTCTAGACTGTCAGTGAAGAATGTGAAACCTTAAAGCAGGAACTTGAAGGGCAGATCCGGCGAGCACAGGCTGCAGAAGAAGCTCTCAAAGAGCTGCAGGTTCGTCCCATGACTTATTAAAACAAGAAGCTCTGGTGCATATGAGTGAACAGCTCTTTGTTGTCTAACAAATGATCAGACCATCTAGCAGCTCTTTCTTTGTGGGCTGAACTCTATTGTAAAGTATAGGGAATTGTCATATGTAATATGCTGAAATTGTTTCAGTGCAGAGCAGAACTTGAAATGATAATCTGTGAAAGCACGTTGTCCAGAATCCTGTTGGATTTGCAGAGCATAAGCAGGTGTTGATTCAAGTGGGCCTACTCTAATGGCAACGTACGGGGCTAAAGTAAGTTGCAGTTAGAGTTGACCCATTTGAGCCAATGAAACTTATGGGAAAGTTGATTTACCAAATCCCCATTTATTCAGTGGGCCTGCTCTTGTTTGCTTTACTAAGCTGTGCAATAGGATTTTGGCCACCAAGAAAAGTGTGTAAATAAGAACATGCATTTGGACATTTGGAACATGCAGAGAGAGAGAATGTGGATTTCAAAGCAGGAAGAGAAAACAAAATATCAAAACCTAATATGAAACAAGGATGGAATGGAAATGACAGATGGAATTTAGAGAAGAATAAGCTCAAGACCATGCATTGTACATATCCCTAATTTGAACTAGTGTCTAATTTTAGCCTTGAAATGTGGGTGTGCTTCAGCATTGAATACTGTATGTGTCAGCATTTACAGACTGAGGAACATAATGTTATCTGGCAGGAAATAAAGCACTCCACAGCCTGGTTCCAGAGATGTGTGCCCACACAATCTGGTGCATGTTTTAAAATCTGCTTATAAATGTTATTTACAAGCTGTACAGAATTTGGCGTTTTGTCTTTTTGAAGAAGATAGATCAGAGATTTTCAACCTTTTTTTGGCCACAGCCATAAACACAATATGAAAGAAAATATAGGCTTGTATACGTTGCATAACAAACCTTATAAGGTGGTGTGTGAAAAATTGTTTCCAGTCTGTGGCCCCCTTCAAAAGTGTCAGAACCCCCCAGTGGGTCATATGGCCCCTGTTGAGCATGGTGGAGGTAGATTACCATGCACAAATTCAGGTATGGTTGATTTTCCCTTTAGCTGCAACAGCAGCTGCATTGCTGGAAAGCCAGGAATGCAGCCTTTATTTATTGTCAGCCATATGTTGGCTGTCAATTACCTGAGCTCTGACTAGGTATGTGCCTATTGGATGCCAAAGCACCCTAGTATCCATGAATGCTGAGAATTGGGGGAGGCAACATACAAACTATGCAGAGGTCTCTGCTCAGTTTTATGGCCATTTGGAAGCCCCTGTCAACCTCTCAGCTCCTGCCAAATCTGGCTCCATAGCAGTGGAGTACAAACATACAGTGGTGCCTCACTAGACGATAATAATCCATTCCACTGAAATCGCTGTTTAGCAAAATCATTGTCTAGCGAAAAGCATTTCCCCATTGGAATGCATTGAAGCCTGTTTAATGTGTTCCAATGGGGAAGAATCGTCATTGTCTAGCGAAGATTGGCCATAGGAAAGCCACTTTGCGAACCGCCAATCAGCTGTTTAAATTGCTGTCTTGCGAAGCTGAGGTCCCGAAAACACCTGTTTGCGAGCGCAGCGGGAGCTGTCAAAATCATCATCTAGTGAAAATCGGTTTGCGAAGCAGGGAACAAACATTGTCCAGCAAAATTCTCCCATAGGAATCACTGTTTTGCGAATGGCTATAGCGATTGCAAAAAGACAATATCTAGCAAAAAAAACTGTCATGCTGGGTAACTGTCTAGCAATGCACCACTGTATTGTGGATTTACAAAGCACACCATTAAAATAAAGTGTTTGTCCTATGCATTGTTGTTTTAAGGTAAAAGTGGCATTTTTCTTACTTCTAGAGAAATGTTGCCTCAAACTTAGATGTAGATTTCAGCAGCAGCTTGGGAGAAAAACAGTTATTCTTCTGAAAATTTGCTAGATTTGCACATTTCTTTAATATCTCAGTTTCCCTTTAGTGACTTTGCATCCACAAAGAAATTCTGACACATCCCAGCAGTCAAACTTACTCTAGATTTGGAATAGAAGGTGAATTTTTTTGCATCTAGCTTTATTTATATTTTTTTAAAAAATTGTTTACCTAGGCTGTGAAAACAGACTTGCGTGCAGAACTGGATCTTGCCTTGGATCAGGTAACTAAGTACAAAGCAGTCCAGCAAAAAAAGGATGAGGAACTGGTACAACTTAAAGAAGAGCTGAAAAGGTTAGAGTGTTGTTTACATTATTTGTGGGCTTTTTCCCCTGTTATATTTATCTTTTCATCTCTTAAAGAAACTTGGTGTATCATAGTAGCCAGAGATTTGACTCTGAATGAAGAAGGGCCCTGGTTTGAATATTGCCTCAGCCACAAACTCACAAGCTGACCTTAGGCAAGCAACACTTTCCAAGCCTCCATCTTTGTATCTGCAATATAGAGGAGCATGATACAGTACTGATTTACAGGGTTGTTCCAAGGCTGACTGCAAGTTAATACAAGTGAAGCATTTTGAACACTTGAAGACACTGTACTGATGTGAAGTATATAGTAATCAGATGTTAATGTTGCTGCAGGGATTGGCTCCATTCCTTTAAGTCAAAAATATTTCCAGAACAGTTGGCTGGAACTGAGAACAACCCTCAATTCTAAGATTAATTAGCATTAAGTTAAAATATTAATTTGCAGAGGAACAGCTTGTGTAAGATGAAATAAGATTCTACATCTAAAAAAGATTTGTGTGTGTGTGAATTGTTAGATTTTCTAAATTTGAATGTATTGTAATATCTGTTTGTTGTTCAAAACATGTAGTGCAGAAGCAGGATATTGTAAGGCTGTATCTCTTTCATATCACTGTGCTAATTGGAGGCTTTCAGAATAGCTAGAACCCTAGTTAGCTTACATTATTTGAGTCCTGATGGAGACAAAAAGGCTTTGGTGCCTGTCAGGAATGTGTCTTCTTAGAGAAGCCATTCCACTAGGGCAATGATCCCCAAACTTTTCCGAACTGCGGACCAGTTGGGGGGACAGGGTCTGTGCATGGGGGGCACCCCCATGTTCTCGGGTGGGTGGGGCGTGTTTGCGTGCAAGCGTGGATGGGTGGGGTGCACTCACGGGTGGGTGGGGCACCTGTGCATGCATGTGGGCGGGCTGTGTGTGCATGTGGTAGTGGTGCAGGAGGGTGGGAGATCCTTGGCAGGACCGGACCATGAACTGCGGGTTGAGGACCCCTGTACTAGGGGTAGGAGCTAAACTGTAGTTCTCAACTTCCATCACCTTTACTTCTAGACTGGGTGAGGCCTAGAAGGTGTGTGAGTGGGCCACTATGGGCAAGCTTCTGTCCCTAGATGTCCAATTACACTCTTATTTGAGCTTAAAACTCTGTGTACTTTAAACCTTGCTCACCAGCCTTACCAAGTAGGACACCCAAAGAACAAAAAAGCCAATATACCCCTTTTGGCTAAGGCACTTTCTTTAGGCACTCTCACCCTTGCCTCCAAGGATCACACTTGGGTAAAATATAAAATATTTATTTAAAAAATAATTAAAAGTTATACAACATAAGAAATACCAAAAAAGATAAAAATTGTACTGGTTAAATCCAAGCATCTACAGTAAGTGTTAAGTAAGCTCCTGTAAGACTTTCCCATAAAACAATAAAATAATAAACTAGCTAATAGTTTTATTACTATCTATTTATTTATTGAATTTATACCCCGCCCATTTAGACTACGTCTACTCTAGGCGGCTTACACTAAAATACCATAAAAACCATAATTAAAAGGAACAATTTAAACAGCTATATTGGTAACATTCAAGATGGAAAGATAAAAATCAGGAAGTGACATGGGGGAAGGCTTGCCTAAAGAGCCAGGTCTTCAGTTGGCTCTTGAAAACACCCAGCAAGAGAGCCAGGCAGATCGATCACCTTGGACAACTTTATTGGAATTGGATTTTTTAGAAATATAAATAAAGAAGAGGAGAATGTGTAAGATACATTCACATATATTAACTGGCTCTGGCTAACGTCCTATTGGAGAAAAATAGCAAATAGTCTGGCTGCTGTTTAGAGTTTATAGAGGAGTGGTTCCCAACCTTGGGTCCACAAATGTTCTTGGACTGTAACTCCCAGAAGCCTTCACCACTAATTGTGCTGGCCAGGATTTCTGGGAGTTGTAGTCCAACAACTTCTGGGGACCCAAGGTTGGGAAACACTGCTGTAGAGGATGTCTCCTAAAGAACTATAGTGGCTAGGAAGCATTGTGACAGTGTCCTCCCAGGATGTATTGCCACAGGTAATGGCTCCTAGAATGCAGCTTCTATGGCAGACCTTGCTTCAGATGAGGGAAGAATAAGGTAATGGTAAAGGTTCCCCTTGACATTTAGTCCAGTCGTGTCCGACTCTAGGGGGCGGTGCTCATCCCCGTCTCCAAGCTGTAGAGCCAGCGTTTGTCCATAGGCAGTTTCTGTGGTCATGTGGCCAGCACAACTAGACATGGAACACCGTTACCTTCCCACCGAGGTGGTACTTATTAATCTACACACATTTTTACATGGTTTCGAACGGCTAGGTTGGCAGGAGCTGGGACAAGTAACGGGAGCTCACTCCATCGTGTAGATTCGATCTTACGACTGCTGCCAACCCTGCAGCACAGAGGCTTCTGCGGTTTAACCCGCAGTGCCACACGTCCCTGAGGGAAGAATAGGTATCTGCAAATGTGAGTCTGTGGACGTCCACTCCCAGAATTTTAATAATCAGAGTTTAGAAAATCAAAATAGCATGTCTCTATATGTACATTGTGTCACCAAAATCAAACAATCAAAAACAAAAACCCTTTTCCAAAGAAAATGGGATGGAATACATCTTGGCAAAAATTGACATCTTATATGACCCTAGAGTTGAAAAATAGCTACTGGCAGTTTGGGGGTACAGCTGTGTTGTAGGGATACTTGAGAGATAAGGCTGATATCTTAAAGGTTTATTGATTATTTAATATATGTTTAAACAGAGTCCAGGAGGAAGTTATCAAAAGAAATGAGCAAATTCAAGACTATCATGGTAAAATCAGCAAGATGAGATCAGATCAAGACAACAGTGAGAAAAAATTACTGGCTGAACTGGATGATCTGACTAGAACCAAGCAATTCCTGGAAGAACGGCTGATTGAACTTCTCAGGTTAGTTTCATATACAGTGGTGCCTCGCATAACGAGCGCACTGTTTAACGACAAATTCGCATAGTGACGCGTTTTTTGCTATCGCTAATGCGATCGCATTGCAGTGATCTAAATGGCCAAAAATCGCATTCCGATGATCGGTAAGCGTTTTGCTTACTGATCTTGGCATTGCGATGTTTTTTTAAACAGCTGATCCGCGTTTCCAAAATGGCTGCCAGGTGCACAAAATGGCCGCCCGCGTTTTCGCACGCTGCCCTCGCTTACCGAGGCAGTGAAAATGGTGGCGCTATGGAGAATCTTCGCTCAACGGTGAGTTTTCCCCCCATAGGAACGCATTAAACGGAGTTTAATGCGTTCCTATGGGGTTTTTCTTTCTGTTTAGCGACGATTCCGGATAGCGACATTAATCCTGGAACAGATTAACGTCGCTATGCGGGGCACCACTGTAGTTCCACTATAAAATCACTGTCATCTCAAGGATTACCTGTTATAGAATTAAAGCTAAACTTATGATTTGACTGTAAGCATCTGTACTGAGAAATTTCAGTACACTAGCATTTCATTTCCTCGCTAATAAGTTCAATGTATTTGCAGTGCTAATGATTATGATGTTTTGTGGAATTCTGGAGAGGATAGACTTTCCAGATTCTCACCCAGATGTTTCACTTTAATGCCTCTTGGAAAGTGAGATGTCATTGAGGAAGGATGCCTGCCTCCTTGGGTCTGCAGTTGTCCAGCCCTCCATCCACTCCACTGTGATCGATGCCCCACAGATCAAGTGGCCCGATTCTCAAATAAGGTCTTTCCCCAGCCAGAATTATTTAGCAGAGACAAACAAAACAAAGCCAGTACAAGCTCTACTGAGACAGAACATTGCCTCCTCTTTCTCCTTCATCCTCCTGTCTTGAGGGGAAGAACACCCATCATCCCTTCATCTCTTGCTCTGAGGGAGCCTTCTTAAAATAATGCTTTGTGAGTGAGATGGCCATGGAGCTAGCCTGTGCTGGTTGTGTCAGTGGCAAACATTTTGCGTAAGGGTGGCCAAAAATATAAATTTATTTTTAGACCTCTAAAGTAATTTTGAACAGCGTCGGCTGCTGTCATGGCTGTGGAGGTGGGCAAAACAATTTGTGTGTGCTTCCCTCTTCTAATGGCGGAGTGGTGGGTAGAAGAGCCCACTCCTAAATCTTTACATAAGTCCATCCAGTTGCATCGCCACCTCAACACCAACCAGCCCAACATCACCACAGGTCTGTGAGGTGGCCTATATAGTATGCCCAATCTTGCATGCTTTATTTGATGTAACTATTCTCTCTCTCTCTTTCTCTCTCACACACACATACATTTAAGACAGAAGATTTTGTTATTTGCAGATATAGGGCCTTTTTGTTTTCATTTTCTATCTCATTGTAATGGTTTCTGTGTAAAGTCGCTTCTTTTTTCACAGTGGCATCACACTTTGCTTTCTGAGTAGACTGGTTCACCACACATGACACTTACATCTCTGAACTTGTTAAGTCCTGTGGTTTGTTGGTCACACGGCATTTTAAAAGGCAAAGGTGTATCTTTTTTCAATAATGTTTACCTAGCAGAAAAATCCTGTATGTATCTGAGCATGCTTGTAGCTGTAATTCTGACCTATTTATGCATGTGTGTGCTTTTTTGCTCAACTTTACATATCTGTTATCACTGACTTATGAATATAATGCTATGCATATTTTATTGAGACAAATCCCATACATGGTGGCTGAAAGCCAGTAGTAAGTTGCAACTAGGTTAGGCCCTTTGAATCAGTGAGGATTTTATGAGTCAGCTCCTCTGTAAGTTCCATTGATTTAATGAGCATATTCTATTTATGACTTACTACTAGGTTTCATCCAGTGAGACTTAACCTTCTGACTGTGTAGGACTGTGCTGTTACTTGAGTATTTTCATCACACAAATATCTGAAATATTGAGGATGGTGGGTTTTGACTCTTTCAGCTTTCATGACTGGAACATAGCTGTGAGGTTTGCTGCATGAGTGATTGCTGGCTGTTTTATTGATGGCTTGTGTAGCATCCTTGATCTCTTTCTGTGTGGTGTCTGAAGCCATCAGGAGCCTGTCTGTTTTTCCCTTGAAGCAAACAAGGAAGGGGGAATGCAGTTCATTGCCTTCTGAAATTGGTGTTTTCCTGCTACTAGCAGCAACCTCCAGTGATCTCTAGATCTCAGTGGGCAAGAAGGAGAAGTTTAAACACACTCCGTCCCTTTATGTGTATGAGAGAAACATGTGAGGGAGGGAAGAGAGTATGTGTATATATTTGACACCAGATACAACCTTTGAGGCCAAAACAGTCCAATTCTTATGATAAGGACCCAGAGCACAGAAAATTCCCCCTTTGGACTACAGTGCCTTAGTATCTCTCAGCTTGCATGGTCAGAAATTTCTCTGAATTCTGTTTTTACCTCACTGTTCTTCCAGAGAGACTCCTAGAGTGACTTGTAGACAAATAACAACAGAGTCCCTCCACCCTCAAGGTTTACAGTGTAAATATGCTCAGACTGATTGGTCAGCCAAGGCTTCTGTAATGATTTAACTGGGTTTGGAATCCTCCACTGGGTGCTGAATCAAGACACAAGCATTAAGAAAACTCTTTTCTCTAAGCCTTTAGATGCCCTCTGCTTGCTAGAGGAAAAAGACTAGATGACACCAACTGTACTGCCTGACTATATACTCAGTGGAAGAGAGCTTTTTATGTGGTCTATGGGAGAAGGCTCCACATGCCTGCATGACAAGGAGCTCTGTAGTGGATATACAGATACAGAACAACTAATTCCTGTAATATGCAGCATCCCTAAGTCACATTCATTTCAGAAGAACATAAAAGGTGAACTAGAAATGGTGCAGATTCATCTCTGAGCAGGATTTCCTGTGGGTTTGTATGGTTTTTGTCTCCCCCCCCCGTCTCAAATCTAGCATGAAAGAAACCAATTGCGTTGGGAAATCACCACCAGACATGGTGATGATTAACCCCTTTTTCATGTGGCTTATTGTGTAGATTACTACCCAAGAATATGAAGTTGTTGTCTTCACCATAGGAACAAATGTACAAGTGACATGGAGTCTGGAAGTTGAGTCATGGCAACTGGACTTCTTTCTTATTAGGTTGAAACGTTTTGCTACTCATCCAAGTACAGTGGTGCCTCAACGTGGATAATCCGTTCCAGCGTAATCGCTGTAGAGCGAAATCCTCGTTAAGCGAAATAAAAAATCCTATTGAAACGCTTTGAAAACCCGTTCAATGCGTTCCAATGGGCTGAATAACTCACCATCCAGCGAATATCCTCCATAGGGGTGGCCATTTTCGGTGCCTGTAAAGCGAGGAATCCATCCAAAGACACAACGGGGAGCCATTTTACACAGCGGGCGGCCATTTTGAAGCCGCCGATCAGCTGTTTTAAAAACATCATCTAGTGAAGAATCGGTTCCCAAAGCAGGGAACCAGTCATTGGGAAGCAAATTTTGCCTATTAAAACATTGTTTTGCGATTGCAAAACAGTAATCGTATAGCAGTTTTGTCGTTTAACGAGGTAATCGTTAAGTGAGGCATCACTGTAGCTGCTTCAGTCTGAGGAGAGTTGGTAGGAGACCCCTGATATATTCTCCAAGTGACATGGAAGTATATGTAGATTTTTCTCAGTCAGGCAAACAAACTTTCATCCTGTGTAGGAAGACTGGTGTATGTGAATTACATTAGGGGGAGGGATTACACATCACCCTCAGCATTGCTTCCAGTTCTCTGAACTCCTTTGGGAACCTCAAGTATCTGCTTCATTATAAAAATAATACTAAATACCTGTGATGTGTTCATGGTTCTCTGTCATCACACCATGTAACTGGCTGCATGTTGCAACTTTAAGTGTGACTTGTCTTTTGGATCTGCTTCATGCAATGTTGAAAGTATCAATATTATATTGGTAAGGATTCTGATATGTACTGCACTCCCCCCCCATTACCGCTCTTTAGCCAGAAGGACTACCAGAGGACCGTACCAGATCAGTTTAAACACAAAATAAAACAAGACAGTACCTGTGTAGGGATTATAATCTAAAAATGTATATTGTGTAAAGAAAAAGGGGTGGATAGGAAAAAGAAAATAAGCAAGCTCACACTAAAATTAATCAACAATGAAGAATCTATCACATTTTTAGGAAATACATTATTTGTCAGTGTCCCAGTCCCTTCTCCTTCTCCTTTTAGTCCTCTGACATTGGCTACCCAGCTTTGGAGAAATGTAGGTTTTCTTTCATTTACACTGAGGTATGAAGAAATGGTTTGGAAGAACCTTCCATTGGTTTCGATCTTCTTAAACCTGGAGTGCAGTGAAAAGTTCTGAATTCTGCTCTGAGCTCTGTTCATTTGTAGGCATCTGCTTTAAAAAGCCAGAGTATGTATGTCATATAGCACATATAACCCTTGATTCCACCCTCAGATACCTAGCTTGCTAATCTCACTAGCCAGTGAATCCTCTGTTACAACATCATAAAGTGAGTACAGATTCCATTCTGTAAAATGGGGAGATGAATACAGTATTATGCATACGGTTTTACCAGAGTTCACCAGGAATTTCCTCAGCCAGAATTCTCGTGCCTGTAGCCAAAAACATCAAGTCCTCAGAAGAGTTTTGGAACAGACACCTGAGGCCCATCATGTTTTTTATTGCAGCCACTGGAAAGTGGGTTGGATTATCTAAGCTCCATGGGAACTACAAGAGGATATGAGAGAGGTAGTTTTTTGAGAGCCACCATGTATAGATCCTAATAAGCAGAGGGCAGGATTTTTATTTTATTTTGGCTGCAGGTGCCAGAACTCTGGCTGGGGGAATTCCTGGTGAACTGTGGTTGTTGTAATGAAAAAACAAAATCCGATAATCCCATGCCTGCAAGAAAAGTGGAAGAAAAGTGGTTGGGAATGTACAGTGATGTATTTCTTGAAAGAAAAATGTGGATATCTTGGAAAAAGTAGGAAAAGATATATGGTCCCCAATTAGAATGTCAGATGAGGCATCTTTAAAGGATTATACTGTACCATAGAGAAACTTTGTTTTAGCTCAGGTGGACCCAAGTTCAACTTCTGTAACAAACCTGTGGGTGATAAATTGTTTTTATGCATCTTTTTGACAGGGACAAGGATGCCCTTTGGCAGAAGTCAGATGCTCTGGAGTTTCAGCAAAAGCTCACAGCAGAGCAAAGATGGCTTGGTGATGCAGAAGTAACATCTTGCCTGGATTGCCAAAAGGAATTTGGTTGGATGAATCGTCGACACCATTGCAGGTCAGCTTTCCATGAGTAGCCACTACTCGAGCAAACGCTGATAGCAATGGTGTTTTGTCAATGATAAAAGAGTTGGGAGGATTTGCAGTTTACTCAGACATATTTGTCAAGCATGCCATTATATAGTAATTGCAATGTCTACTAGAATGGGTTTGATTTAAACAAAATTAATTAAAATCACAATTTAAATTTTTTTAATGATGATTTAAATTGAGGGTTTTTTTAATGGATTATTATCCACCCTGTCTACCAAATTGTATCCCAAGTATTCTTTAGAATTGCATTTAGAGTTTATATTTAGGAAAGTTGTGGGATGGAAATGCCATGCCCAGACCTTCATGGCTCTCAGATGTTCTTCCTACCTTTTATGCTTAAATATATGAGACTTATGTTAGCATGTAGATCCCTTCAAGCTTTCCTGCAACGCTTACAGTTACACAGGAGGAGGAGGCTGTCCTTTGTGGCAGGAGTTAGCAGCATGTGGAGATGACCACAGCATGGACTGAAAATCGGGCGAAACGAGGAGAATTGTTCCTCTTGGAAGCTTCCAGGGATAGCATTTCCCTTGAAAACAAAGCTTATGCACACATGTCCCTGCCTTGTTTAGTCCCCCAGCATGATTTTTACCAAACTAGAAGTGGATACAATGCTTAAAGCAACACTTACCTAACAACAACTAGGTAGAAGAGTTGAAGAGCATGATTATACTGTATAGGGAAGGGGCAAGGTATGGCTCTAAAGAGAAACAAAAAGTGTCGTTTAATGGTCCAGATTTTGCTGGACGGATTCATACATATTTGTGGAGACAGTATAAATAGTAAAATCATTCATTAGTGTAGCCAGTGATATATCATAAGCTTGTAAACAGAAAGTGGGATTTAAGTCATCTATCTATTGAATATGAAAGGGATCCCTATTAATCAGCTTGCTTAACATGCCTCTCATGAGAAGAGAAGACTCCCTGGAAAAGATGCTGATGTTAGGAAAGTGTGAAGGCAAGAGGAAACAGGGACGACAGAGGACGAGATGATTGGACAGTGTCATCGAAGCTACCAACATGAATTTGACACAACTCCGGGAGGCAGTGGAAGACAGGAGGGCCTGGCGTGCTCTGATCCATGGGGTCACGAAGAGTCGGACACGACTAAATGACTAAACAACAACATGATGCCTTAAGAAGTTGTATTTTAACTCAGATTTTAATTAGAAATGTTTGATGTTTACATGTCTTCAACATTACTTTGTATAACCGCTTTTGGATATCGGGGAATAGACTGTACTTTCCCAGTAATTTCCCCTGTAATGCTGCTTGTTTGTTGTTTAGTTAAGTGACAAGTTCATGTGATATCATCAGATAATCTCTTGCATTGAGATGTTGTAATCTTTTAATGGTTTAACTAATTGAATAAGAGGTTCAAGGCAATGTCCTTAATCAACTACAAAGCCTTTAACTGGTTGACAGACTGGGTTAAGCTTCATGAAGTCTGAGAACAGTCTGTATTCCCAGCTGGTATCTTGATTATAGAGCAGCAATACCATTTTTCCATGAGAATGTAAAAGCCAACATTTTTCATTGCTCTCACACTTCACTATAGAGAGTGTGCATACATTCATACGTGCATATCTAGAGGACAGTCTGATTTTTGTTGACAATGAAGTACTGTAAATATTAATTGTTTTGGGATATGTATTTCACTTGGGGTACCCTGTGAGAAAGTTTTTAGCATGCAGTCACCTCACATCATTCAGAGTTTTATAGACAGCCCAGTTGATCTTCCCTTCACCTTGTAACTCTCTTGTGCTTTTCCACCACTTTCATATCCCACACGCCACCATCTGTCCTTAAGAGAAGGGGGAACAAAGCTATCTTTGTTCAGTAGCATAGTCATAAATCTTGAAGTGCAGATGCTGGCCAGGACAACCTAGCCATATCCTCAAGGGGAGTCCAAAAATGCAACAAACAAGTTCTAACATAAACAGGTCTTTTGTAAAGCTAATGGACCTTAATTACCATTCAAAACCAAACCCCATTTTTTTTATTATAACAAAGATAGCTACATCAATATATTGTTGCTGTGAAAATCCATTACCTTCCCATGGATGTTGTGAGGATTTCAGCTGTGCTCAAAGGAAAGCAGGGAGTCGATGTAATTGTTCTTGCCATTTTTTTAAAGACATGACATGTCTGTCCTAGGAGCCTTGGCTCCATCACAATATTCATATTATAAAGAAATATTTGTGGGCAATGAGATGGGCAGACCGCTTGCTATTGTTTTTAACTTTTGGTCCACCCTGTTTTCTGGCGACCACATGTATTTTCTCTAAGAGCAATTCATCCTGTCCCTTTGGTCCCATTCCTTTCTGGAACTGGGCTAGGGCTGCAGTTTATTTGGCACAATTGGGTGAGCTCTTGATTATCCCATTCTCCAGTCTGTGCGGTTGGTTAATCCACCCCCAAATTTGGACCCATGGGCGGCGTTCTCCGTGGTGACTACCTTATGACATCTCCAGGGGGAAGTGACATTAAAAGTAAGGACAGAGAGAGAAAGAACCCTGTATTTCTGTCTTCTCTAACTTTTAGAAAAATATTTCCCAAACTGAGGCTGCACAATTCTAATACATTGGAAGTGCCCTTCAATACTTTTATTGCATCTGATGCTGTGCTGATTTGTTGGGAGGGAAATTCAGGGGGGGGAGGAGTAGTCACAAGCAACAAAAAACAGGGAAGGGGGTCGAGAAAGGGGCATCAGTAATTGAAAGGGGCAGATATTGGAGTGATCTGAAGAGGTGTTTGGATCCTTCTCACAGGAGAAGAAACATCTCCCATATGAATAGAAGGACTGCTGAAGTGCAAAATATAATAGAACATGCTGAAGATAAGAGCCTTTCAATTTCAAACTGAATCACTCCTGCTTCTCCTGTCTAGTTGTGCTCTTTGTTTGGAAATACCCTTGCTCTAATGTTTCCTCTCCTTGAAATTCATTATCTGCACTTTTCTTTTCCTAGGATGTGTGGACGCATTTTCTGCTACTACTGCTGCAACAATTATGCCATGTCGAAACAAACTGGCAAGAAGGAGCGCTGTTGTCGGGAGTGCTTTAAAAAGTCCAGTGACCCTGGGTCAAACGCTACCCAAGAAGAACCATCATCAAGTTTGCTGGCCTCACCATTTTCCCTGGTCCATAGAGTTTGGGGTGAGTCTTTTCTAATATGTGCTGTCAAGTCACCCCCAAGTTATGACCCTATGAATGAGCAATCTCCAAACATTTCCTGTCCGCAATAGCCCTGCTCAGTTCTTGCAGTTTTAAGCCTGTGGCTTCCTTTAGGCAGTCAATCCATCTTGTATTTAGTCTTCCTTTTTCCCTCCTGCCTTCAGTCTTTCCCAGCATTATTGTCTTTCCAGAGAATCTAGGTATAAATGGAAATAATTTCCCCTGAGAATGATCTCTGGGCAAGGGAAGATCTACACCTTGTTATCTGCATATACAGCTGACCCTGTAGTAGACAGAGGGAAGTAGAGTGGTTGGGGGGGGGGACAATATTGCAGAAGAAAGTGAGGAATTCCTATAAAAATGGGAAGGGTGACATTCTGAAACAGTTGGTTGTCTTTAATCAGCCACCTCTTAGTAAAACAGTGATGTTATTCTACTATATGGGTCAGCTGTAGCCACACATGGCTCTTGGTGGCCCATGATGTGTGCTCAGTGGTGGTGCCACGCCTCTCTAGACTCCTCCTCAGATCACCATCAATGAGGATGAGTGATGTAGATGGCTGACAGGCCAGCTCTTTGGCAGGCTGTGAGTAGATCAGCTTGGGAGCTCATGAAGGCTCTGCCTCCACCCATCCTGTTGGCTGTCCAAGGGTCCCTGCCAAATCTATGTAATGGGCATGGGGTAGATCCCTTCTGCAGGGACTGAATGCTCCAGTGAAGCCTAGAAGCTGGGGAGACCCCTGTGGGTAGGAAGAAGAGAAAATTAGGGGAAGGTTTAGAAAAAAAAAATCCAGCCAAATGCAGTATATAAAAGAGACTGAGGAAAAACTGTGGGTGAGCAGTGCAAAGGAAAAGGTAGAAGTAAATGGAACAGGAATGGCCTGATGCTCAGAGTAGAAAGGGAATAAGCCGGCCTCTGCTATAAATGCTAGATTTGTCAAATAAAAGTGGAACACTCCTCTAGCTAATAACCCCTGGGTACTCAGCTTGAAGAAGCTTCAGAAAACCAAGGCGAGGCTGAGAGCCATCTGGGGGGTGTTGAGGAAAGGTGGTCCAGTCAACAGGGAGGACTTGGCCCCAACCCAGCAGCATCATTTTCTTTGTGGGGGAAGAAGCTCCAAGTATTGCACCAGGTGGCAAAGGGACATCAGGGAAGGGAGGTGGAAGGTTTATAAACCTTGACAGTCTTATGGACCCAAGAGGTAAGGGCCACCCTCCCTCCTACCCCAGAAAGGTAAATTATTTCCCTAAGTAATGCGTTTGTGTGGAGAACATTGTGGTGGAGAAGTTGTGTAAAAAGTGTGTAATAAATGTGTTGTTTGTTTGAATCGGGAGTCTGAGCTTTCTCTTATGTAATGATGGAGGACACTGCTGGTATTGTTTGTGATCCCCGTCTCCTCAGGGGTGCACCATTTCACAACCTGTCAGGTGTCTGGGCTGGAAAAGAAAACATATGAGGAGAGTGAATCTTGCATTCTGCCTTTCCCAGCAGAATCACTGGGAAGATGGTGAGACTGAATCCTCTCCATTCACCCAGCCATCTTAAACAAGATCACCAGGGAGGCTTTTCCATACTCACATCTCAGCAAGCCTACTCAAGGTCACAGAGGCTTATGCCAAATATAACTTGCTGGTCTTAAAGATGCCAAAAGATTCTCTGATAGCTTTTTGGCAACTGATCTGCCTAACTCTTTAAAAATTTTTTTGAAAATTAGAGACTCTGGAATAAGAGGATTTTTGCTTAATGCAGGCTGCATGACAGTGTGCTCACTGTCCTTGATAGACTTCCATGTCTGTAAATAGTATCAAAGTGAAGTTCCTTTATCTTAGATGAAGCAGTATAATTCCTTTTCATCCTTCCCCTTTTTGTGTGGCACAGTTACAAATGAAGCCTCTAAACCTGCAGATGATGCAGTGTTTGATATAATCACAGATGAGGAAGTGGGCCAAATACAGGAACGTCTCTCCATTCACAGTGAAAGCCAAACTGAAGAAGAATCTCTGGATCGCAGTGCGACTGACCTGTGAGTAAACACTGTGTTGGCAAAATTGAGAAGCTGTACTCCTTCACACACCAGAGAGCCTCGTTGAGGACACCACTGTTTATGTTCTCAGTGGGCTTTTATGTCCACCACCCTGATGACTTCCAGATCTGTTGTATCACATAATCACTAGTCAGCATAGCCAGTGGAATGATGAGACAAGTTATAAGGCAGCACATCTCAATAGGAAACAGGTTGGGGAAGATTATCTATCTACCTATCTGCCTATCTACCTATCTACCTATCTACCTATCTACCTACCTACCTACCTACCTACCTACCTACCTACCTACCTACCTACCTACCTACCTACCTACCTACCTACCTACCTACCTACCTACCTACCTACCTACCTACCTACCTACCTACCTACCTACCTACCTACCTACCTACCTACCTACCTACCTTCCTTCCTTCCTTCCTTCCTTCCTTCCTTCCTTCCTTCCTTCCTTCCCTCCCTAATGTATCCTAATCTAATTTAATCTAATCTGTCCATGGAATGCACAAATATAAAAAGAACAACATGTCTAAAAAACAAAGTTGGTGGGAATGAACAAGATACAGACTACGAAATATAATGGTCAAAATAAGACTCAATAACCAACAGTTATGGAAGGCGGATATCCTGAAATGTCTCCTTGAAAAGCAGAGTTTTTATATGCTTTCTGAATATTGGGTGGAAAGGGACTTGGTGCTCCTCCACAGGTAGAGCATTTTGTAAAGAAGTGGCCACCACAGAGAAGGCCCAGCTCCTATTTAGACTTCTTGGTCTCCCTCGGGGTGGCCACCACCAGCATCAACACCGGGGGGTTCAAGTGGCATGGGAAATTGATCGTAGGGTGAGGCATTCAGATAGGTTAAACATAATGAGAGAAACATTGGGCTCCTGTAACTTTCTTCCATGTTGATTCTTGGAAGGGGATTGTTACATACAGCACTGATGTACCCAGACCTACTGGGATATGCCCCACTTTCACTAAGCTGCCACCAACCATTCCCTATAAGAAGTCACACAGACCAGGGATGGATTTTTAACCAAATAAAAGAACAAGGTTTATTTACATAACACACAGGGAAAATAAACTGATCAAATGAATAAGATACAGTAACGTGGCTTAGTCTCAATCATGCATACACCAGTTTGGTTCACTCAGAACACTTAACTTGAAGCACAGACCCTGAACCTATCAGTTCTGGCTAACCATACAGACACCTGAACCTATCAGGTTGGTACTGACTGACACACAGTAGTACCCTGTCTGACACACAGACTCCCACTCAAGCTTCTTCTCTCAGCTCTTCTCCAGCTTCTCCACACAAACTCCACATATATATACAGTACAGCCCCTCCTCCTGATGTCCCGCCTTCCACTCCCCATAGGATGGAACTTTCCCTCCAACCCATGACAGACAGGTAACATCAGTGCTGTATGTAACAGGGATCTCTTTTCCACAGGCAGGGTTCCAAACAAAAAGAAAGTAAGATCGGTTTTGTCGGGGGAGAGAGGAGAGGAAGGTGATTGATGAGATTAGAAAGGGAGACACAGCAGGTGCAAGAAGGGTAGGTTGCCACTTCATTTCCAGTCCACTGCAAATATGTCTGTGTTCTTGCATTTTCCATTATCTTGGTAAATTTGAGGTTGGGAATTTTAATTTGGTGATGGGTCATCCAGTTTTACTGCAAAGTTTTTAACAGAAGAAAGAACACCAAAAGTTCTTCCCTCTGGCCATCCTGGATGAAAAGCCTGTGGTGCTAATACCTGGAGTTTGGAATTTGTTTCAACCTATGACTCCCCTTCTGACTTCCCTCATTCTTTAGCCTTCTTCAGGTGTTTGCTTCATTTGTAGATTATCCAGGTGAAGGAGGGGAGTGTGTTAATCTTTCCTCCTCCATCCTCACTTCCATTTCTTTCTGTCTCTAGAGGAAGATGGGTCTGATGCAGAGAGCTTCCACTGTCTGTGGAGGCTTTCTGCAGGAGTTGGAACCCTTCTGATGGCTGGCAGTCTTTTTTTTTAAACTCTTGGATTCTGATTGACAGGTGTGGAAGGGTCTTTTAGTGGTGGGTGTTTTGTGTTCTTTTTGTTGATTCTCTAAATAACACTTAACGTTTGCCAATTTTGTGCTTGTTTTAATGTGATAATTAGCTTAATAGTACAGTAATTTGTTGTGGTTTTTTTTTTGGCTGTATCTGCATTTCATTCCCACCCACCCCCAAATTCACATCATTAACTGCCTTGAATGGTGCAAAAGAGAAAGGTGGTATATAAAACCAAGTAAGGAAACAAAGGAATAAATAAAACCCTGAAAAATCAAGATTCCAATTCATATGGAGAGCCTCCATGGATAACAAAGCCTATCTAGTTCACAGTGTGTGTCTTTTGTGCATGGATGGGCAACAGAACTGAAGGAGGATGGGGTAGGATGCATTTACACACAAAGCTAACGCCAAACAGGGCCTTTTTTTCTTAGTGGAGAAGAATACAGATTCGGATGTGAGGTGCTGTTCAACTTGTTTGTCCCTCTTTGTTTGGATTATAAGCAAGAGGAAGAGGGCACTACTGTTTCAGAACCCTATTCAGAGTGAAATTTTTGCACTTTAAAGCCTCTGCCAGCTAATTGCTGCCTGTCTTTGCAGAAGTAGCTTCTTCTATCTTAAGATCCTCAGCAAACAGCCTGGTGTTGCCGTCCCCAGCAAAGGCACATGGCTAAGAGAGGCCATGCATTCTGCATGGTAGTGCCAGTTAGGCAGTGCCTTCTCCAGAGCAGCTGCCCTGATGTATCACCAGATAGCTTGCCACAAAAAGATTTCTGGACTGTCTTGCTGTTTCATCCTGCTTGAGTTTTACTGCTTTATTGATTGTTGATTTATGGCTAAATAATAATTTTTCTAAGGACTGTTCACATTTACTTCACACAAACCTTACTTCATTCCTTTTGTTTGCTCACACTAGAATTGAATGAATGAATGAGCTTTATTACGGTCACTGACCAGCAGGTATATCCAATGCAACTATAACACATAATACAATGAAAAGTAGCAGAAGGTAGCAATAATAATATCACATGTACACAATCTGTTACAATATAACTAAATTAGATGGAGACTCCTTAGTTGCACTCGACTGAGGAGTTCAGTAAATAAATTCAGTAAACTCTGTACCACCTCCAGTCTCATCATCTTAAGTAGTGTAGCACAGAGGTGTCCCCAACCCCCAGTCCGCGGCCCAGTCCCAGTCCGTGGCCTGGGCCGCGGCGTTAAAAGAATGAAAGAGGCAGAAGGAGGGGCGGCAGACTAAAGGACTGCCTATCTAGTATTGTGAGAGAGTGCACTGTTCTCTCTTACTTAAAGAGAACTTCAGGGAAGCACAGCAATGGCAGATTGACCTTAAGGAAAATAAGTTTTTCTACAGGTTCCAGGCATGAGCAGAACCATGTCCCCCTGCCTGAAAGAACACTCACTCACTGGGCATACACATTGAGGGCAAGACAGCAGTCCCGCTTCCACCTTGGCCAGACCTCCTCAGATAGACTCCTTCTCAGCCCAATAGGTCAAGGGGTTGATCTCTTTTGGCTTGCAGGGCTCCTGCACGTATGCCTCTGCCCTGTCCTTCATCGGGGATTGTGGCTCTGGAGGACAGGCCTCTGCCATGCTTGTCAAGACAGTGTCCCAGAAAGCTTGCCCTGTTGTTGCAGGCGTGAGGGACTTGGACTCTGGAATGGTACTGCTGTTTGGGGTGCTATGAACACTGCTAGTTTCTTCCTGCCCTGTGCGACCCCTTCAGTGCTAGCCGGACCTTCTTCACTAGCTGCTGCTGCTGCTGCGTATGATAGAATATTGGCTGGCATTGCTCCATCCCCCCCTTGCTGCTGCTTAATGTCCATTGCTCACTGTTTAATTCAGGGGTCCAAGAGGGTTGCTAGAACATACCTCCTCCTCCTCCCACAAGCAGGCAAACCTGTAATGAAGCAGGTCCTGAGATTGCTGTCCAGGGCTAGCAGGCTGGAAAAAATACTGCTCTCCCTCTATGGAATCCCCCATCCACCTAGACCAGGGGTGTCCAACCTTTCACCTTCCCTGGGCCACATTAGAAGATGAAAATTTGGTTTGGGCCGCACATACATTTGGTTTGGGCCGCATGGGGGGCAGCCCTAGCCGTCCTCCGCAGCCCCGCTCCAAGCGCGCTTACCGGCAGCTGCGATCTCAGACAGCAGAGGCTGCCAGCTTCGACTCCGGCGGCTTTATGGGGCCAGGAGGGCGTCCACCTATTGACGGGGATGGCGCAATGCAGTCATGCAGCCCCCCTCTCCCCTCCCCTCCCCTCCCACTCCTTTCTTCCTTCCCTCTCTCCCCCTCTACTGTTGTGACATGCCCCGGACACATTCCGGCCACAAGCGCCGGCAGTGTAACTTGAAACTTTGGAATTTCTTTAAAAATAAAAAATTGCACTGGGCCGCATTACGAGCTGACCTGGGCCGCATACAGCCCTCAGGCCGCGGGTTGGACACACCTGACCTAGACTATCCCCTCCTGATGCCCTTCACCATGCCAATCAAGTTTTGAAACATTGGGATCACCTGACTAACGATGGCTGTCTGCCCACTAAGGGCATGTGTTGCACTCTCAAAGCTTTGGAGGGCACAGACGGCTTGACCCACAATCACTCTTCTCTGCCCCAGGAGTAGCCATACCAATGGAAGTTTCCAGTATCAAATCATGGAGCGCACTTTGCTGCTCACAGCACTCTTTCAAACCACCAGCATCCTGTCAGGGAAGGATAGGCATGTTTTGCATCTTGGCTGCTCCAGATGTCACTTGTAAAATGTACCACCTATGCCCTGGCCAACTGCTGCTGTATCAGTTGCCTGACACTCCAATATAAATCTGGTACCACCCTGTGGCTAAGGGTCATTCAGGATGGCAGTTGATAATGGGGTGACAGTTCTGCCACAAACCTGCGGGAACCACTGTTCTCTGCCAGGGAACATGGATGCCCTTCCCTAGGCAAAAAATAGTTCTGTATTTTTATGTTTGCAGAACGCCTTTTCTTGCACCTCTCCAGGTTCCTCCGGGGCAGCCTAGAACTTATTCTTGAGATGGGGATCTGGCATTTGCTGCCTCCCACCTCTTGCTATTTGCCTATCTACCTCCCTGCTTCCCTGGGCTAGTCGCTCAGCTCTTCCCTCTGATGACTCTTGCCTTTCTCAATAGGGAAGCCCCTTGCTCCCAGAGTGTACCTACTTCATTTGCCAGCAGCAACGCCCTATGCTGAGTCTTCAAGTGGCTGACCAGGCTACTGTTGGAGACGTGGCCCAAGTCCTGCCCATGCTTGAGCACTTCTTGCAGTGCATGCATACAGTGAGCCATGTAAGCATCCGTTGCTCACTGTTGAAAATGCTTCCAGATTATTGACTTCTTTGGAGCTCCAATTTTTGACTGCATGTTCCTAACAGGGATTGCTAATTTTTCATTATTACCAGTTCTGGCAGCTGGTGGGGCAAGTGCAGTTGGAAGGACAGGGGTGATTTCAATGTGATGTGCTTCTGAAATAGTGGCCATTTGAGGCCCCTATGTCTCCTCCTCCTCCACATCAGATGTACTTAAATGGGAGTTCCCATCAACCACAATGGTGCTTTGCACAGGAGAGATTTGCCTGGAATGGGAGCTGGGGTTAAACCCTTCCTTGAATATGATGGAGCTGCATGGTATGGATATGGAAGGCAATGTCTGGTGCTCTTCATAAACCTCTTTCCCAACCACAAAAGCTCAAGCTGACTATTAATCTGATGCTGAAGCCAGTCTTGTCTGTCATATTGACTCTTTGGGAGAAAAATGCCTTCTTCACCATCTTCCCCCCTCCCCCCCCCACCCTGGTTGGATTGCACAAAGACATCACTGGAACATGTCTAAGGTTCAGTCATGTCTGTCACATATTGAACCAGAGGCTTCACTGCTACCCTCCATGGTAGACACACATGTCAGGAAAGCCCCTCCTTAGAGGGTGCTATTTCACTAGGGAAAGGTGCCAACTTTAGTTCCCAAATTCCAGACCTAGAAGGTGGGTGAGTGGCAAGCTTCTATCCTTAGATTTCCACTTGTCCCCTTATTTTGGGATAAAATACTGTTGGCTGTGTACACTCGTCTGACCAGGTAAGACACCAAAAAAACAAAAATTGCTAACATAGCCCTTTGGCTCAGGCACTTCCTTTAGACACTCAAGCCCTTGTTCCCCCAAGAACCACACTTGGGTAAAATATAAAATAAAGTTTATTTTTAAAAGATAAAAAAGTTGTAAAACAAGATATTCAAAAGAGTTACAAATTGTTCTGTTAAAATGCCAAGCTGCTAAGGTTTAGCTGAGTTTTTGGAAGTAATTCCCCAGTAAAACAATACAAATCTAGCTAACTAAGATTTACTACTTAATTACAATGCTGTTCTACATTATCATTGCTAAGTCTCCTAATCAATCAACAAAGGCTGTAAAACCTGTCACACCCTCTTCCTCCTCCTTTTTTGGCGTGCACACACACTTAGCCCCCCTTTCTGTAGTTTAAATCAGTGGTTCTTAACCTTTTTGAAAGTATCACCCCCCTCAGCCATGGAACTTATCCTCCCCCCCTCCCCCAATATAACAGCAGCGCTGCAGTGGCAGCACTGGACCTGCTGCCTATACCAGCTGCTGTGGATCCGCCTGCCAAATCCGCTGCCAGCACTGCGACTGCAGCCGTCTTCACAGATTTGGCTCGCTCCATCGGCCCCATATCACCCCCCTTCTGTTCCTTTGCCCCCACGTTGCCCCTTTCGTTCCATCACCACCCTAAAAAACAAAATCGCCCCTTCGGGGCGGTATCGCCCAGGTTAGGAACCATTGGTTTAAATCAAAGTCTCTGCATCATGATGGTATCTAATCACCTTAAAGTTCTGTGTTTGAAAATCCACACCCAATTTATAACTTTCCAAAGTCCAATCCCTTGTTCCCATGCTGGTAAACAATTAAGACGGAATCCACTGTTTATCAGTCTTGGACAGCAACCTTGAAGAGGACTTCTGGCAGACAGAACAAAGTTCTTTCCCAGGCAGAGATATGCCACCTGTGCAAACTCTGAAAAACAAGTACCTGTACTGCAAAACCCGTTTCCTCACAGCACACAAACACGATACTGCTGCCTGTTGCTCTGTATAGTCTCAATGCTGATCAAGGCAGCTGGGTGGCAAATTTTGTTTGGGTGGGTCTTGTAATAGCAGCTGTAGGTTGTTTTCCCCCTCCTCTCAGTAGAGGCTGCTGCAGTGGGTGCCGGCTGTATTCCAAGTGTCCACACCATAACAAAATCTTATTCCCCTTCCTGATATACCTTATATAATATAACATTATACTTCCCTCTTGATTTATAATGTACTAATCTATGAATCTACTAATCCTGAATCTTATTCCTGTTTATAGTAAGTAAACAATACACAGTGAGATACAGTGGTGCCTCGCACAGCGAGGTTAATCCGTTCCGGATTAACCCTCGCTGTGTGAAACATCGCTGTACGGAAGTTAAAAAGCCATTGAAACGCATTAAACTACGTTTAATGCGTTCCAATCGGCACGTTTACTTACCGTACAGCGATGCTGGCAGCCATTTTCGCGCCCTCTGCTCGCAGAACGAGGGCGCAAAAATGGCTGCGATCAGCTGTCCGGCGGGTCCAAAATGGCCGGCAGAACAGCCGAAAGGGACCGGGGCGCAGCGTTTTTGCGCCCTTGGTAAGCAAGGGGAGGGCGCGAAAACGCTGCCGGAAGCCCCAGCAAAGCGAAGGTCGGTAAGCGAGCAGCTTACCGCCCTTCGCTCTGCGATTTCCAGCCTATACGGGCACCGTTTTGTGATCGCATTTGCAATTGCAAAAACAGCCTCGTAGAGTGAATTCATCGCTCTACGAGGCGCCCGTTCTGCAAGGCACCACTGTATAGTGAATTTAAATGTAAGTCGAGGGTTCAGAAAAGGACACAGAAAACTACTGCAGTGCACATGGTTGCTGTGGGTTTTTCAGGCTCTTAGGCCTTGTTCTAAGAGCCCAAAAAACCCACAACAACCATTAGATCCCGAATATACTGCAGTGCACGCTTGCATCAGAGCATTCCCTAACAGCAAATGCTCAAAGGGCTTATAAGCAGCTGTGCCCACCATTCAGTTGGAAAGAACCAATGTGAAAAAATATGTTCTGGCTTCTGTGCCTGCTTCTAGATTTAATCGGTGCCAACAAACATCACTTGCAGGTTTTGCTCTTATCTTAGCCCCACCCCACCCCTTGAGGTCACCCTGTAAGTACTGAATTGGAGCTTAAGGTGCTAAATCCAGTTGATCTTCTCAGCTAGAGCAGACCCATTAAATAAATATATGAGACTCATTGGGCAAAATCCTGTTGGTGTAATTTTATGCCATGAGAGTTGATGATGTTATCAGCTTCTGCTGGAAAAATATAATTTCAATTATACTAAAGTTTCTATTCCCGTCATTTTAGCTTCTGAGCTCACTTTCGCCCAGGGAAAACCTTTCCATCCCTCTCAGAATGGAGAGGGGAAACCTTTTAATATTGGTAATCTCAGCTGGTGCTTGCATTGACAGATTGGCAGAAGGGAGGAGCCTCAGAATTTAAAACGGGATAGTAAGGTTTAAATTCATTTAAATTAAGTTCTACCGATAGTAGTTGCTAACACCATCAGCTTCTGCCACATAAATTTATGCCAATAGAATTTTAGTCATTGAGTTTAGGCTTTCTCAGGTCCCATTAGTGCACTTTTCTAATCTAGCCCAGGGCTATCTTTTGTTATAGACTGTAAAGAGCCATTGACAGCTGGAGTAGAGAGGCTATATAAACCAGCAGCACAACTGCAGAAGATAGCTTCCTACTTTATCTTAGAGGACAGAATTAACATGAGAAAACACAGTTGATTGAGACTCAGTTTCTCAGAAAATTATATCTGAAGAAAATTATTAATTATATAGAGGCAGTTAAAATAATTTTTGCAGGTTCTTAGAAACTGAATGCATAAAATGCTTGGAAAGTTGCTTGCTGTACCATCCATACTCACAACCAGTTTTGATTAAAAATAGTAGCAGATGCTTTGCTTCAGTCTTTTTTGGTTTCTGCTCTAAAGCCATGACATCAAGTCAGCAAAATTTAGTCTTCTCTCAGAAGTAGCATTAGAAGCAAGAGTGCAGTGAGATTTCGTGTGATTTCCTTTCTGGGAAACTTACAGGCAGTGTAGTTATATTAAGACACAGCATTTGCTCTTATGAGAATTCAGGTAGACTAAAGATGAAACTGTGCTGTAGACACTCTTTAAGATTTTCTTACAATGGATCCATGCTTGTTTCCTCTACATGATGTGTGTCAGTACAGGTTTTTGAGCTGTCATCTTCAGTTGTTTGCCATTGCTTTGCAAATAGTTTATGTTTAGCATGTCTAGTATTTTTAAGAATTTTCATCAAATGCTTCCGAAACTTCACACCAATAAAGAAATAGAGAACAGGGTTAAGGCAACTGTGGAAATAAGCAATGGCTTCTGTCACAATCAAAGCATATTCAAAAGCGTGATCCAGAATGACATTTTTGTCTATGGCACGGCTGAGTTTCAATAGGTTGTATGGACTCTGTGTAATAATGAATGTCACAACGATAGCAAGTATTATTCGCAAGGATTTGTGCTTGTGGAAACCCCGGGCTCTGAATAATGTGTTCACAATGATTGAGTAGAAAATAAGCATGATAAACATAGGGCAGAAGAATCCAAGAACCATCTGGGTTACTTCTGTGAAAACTTCCATGTGATATGAAGGATAATTTACAGAACATACCTTTTTGTCATTTTGAATCTCTTTACTAAATATAAATTGTGGCAAAGCAAAGCCCAGAGAAATCACCCAAACCAAAATACAAGCTGCAACACCCCAGACTTTTCTTTTGGCTTGACTTATGTAAGCTTTGGTAGCTAGGACAATAGCAAAATACCTGTCAATAGTTATGCAGGTAAGAGTTAGCATAGAACCATATAGATTTAAAGTATATAGGCCTCGGATGATTTTACATGGCAAAGTATGAAAGATCCACTCTTTGGCAGCAGAATAGGCCCAGAATGGCAATGTACAAAGAAAACAAAAGTCAGCTACTGCCAAACTCACTAAAAATACATCACTTAGAGCTTTCATTTTCTCATAGAAAATGAGAATGATAAGAACCAACGCGTTTCCTAACACCCCAAAGATGCAGGCAGTGGAATACATGCAGGTTAAGAAGGTTCCCATGAACTCTAAAAATTTCATGTATCTGTAATTGTCTTCATTATATGTGGCATTGGAATACGCATAGTCATAATCTTCTTCCGTGGCCATGAATGTCTTTTCTCAAATACCTGTAATCACATACAATTGAAAATGGTATCACATAGATTTAAAATAAGACTTGAACTATAACCACTATGGAAGTTGGAAAGTTAAGTTTTGCAGTAGCCAGGCTGGCTGGGTGAGTCTGTGGGTTGTAGTCTAAAAGATTCCCCACTACCACCAAACTTGGTTCTCCTCAACTGTCATCTTCTTGTAATTATGGGATAGATGCTACTATTGGAGTTGTTTTCTTGACAACTACATAAAGGGGCCACACTTTTTGTTCCTGAATTGTGTTATGTAACAAATTATTAAAAATCAGTTACAGCCACAAACTCGTGTCAGTACTGAGTCAGATAAACAGAAGAGCATACCTTGCAAGCTGAGTCAGTGGTCTTCTATGTTTTTCAAGAAAGTTGATTTCTCTTGCACCTTGGAAGAAAATAATATTTTTCGAGTTGATTTATGATATGAAGTATACAGCAGAGATGGGGAGCATCTGGTTCCCCCCCCAATAAATTATTGGGTGGGTATTTCCATCATTTCTCACCATTCACTGTGTTGCTAGAGGGTCATAGGAATTGTTGTCTAACAACTTATTGGTGCCAGGCAAAGACCTTACTGTTTAGCCAGCATTTTAATTAAATAGTATCCTTAGCTGGCCGTATCAGCAGCAGAATTTATTAATGATAAATTGACTGTTTTAATATTGGGTATTATTATAATATTGGGTATTATTTTAATGGTTTTAATGTTCTAAAGTTTTAATACTGCTGTACGCCACTTAAAATGATTGGTAATGGTGCAGTTAAAAAATCTGGTAAATAAATAAATAAACTTACGCACATTAAAAAAATAAACTAGTAATCTAATGTAGCAACAGATCCTGCTGGGGGTGAAATGTTGTATTTTCTTGGGGGACTGAAGTGTCCTTATTTTATTTCACATGGCTTTTAGTCTTGTCTGGGATGCTTGGTAATTTCCTCTGCTGTGCCCAGAATTACAAACGTTGACTACTAGCACTGCTCCAGGCATTCAGGCACAGAGTTATGTTTGTGACCTGTTATGGGTTCCTTTATTTGGAGCTGTTGCTGAAGTCACCACTATGTTTGTGGCATGTTCATAGCCTCATAATTTTTTACGACCAAAAGAAGAAGAAGAAAGGTATAAAACAATAACCTGGTATTGATACTCACAAAAGAAGAATCTTCAATTAAAAATAAAAAAGGTAAAAGTGTATTTTGGCAGTAATAACTATTTTCTGTGGGTATGCCAATTTAATAATTTGCTCTGGAAAATCTTACTCCATTAATCATCCAGTTTTAGTGCTTTAATTAAATGATTTAATGTGCATTTATTTTGTATATACATGTTTCATGTAAAAAAATTAGATTGAATGGCTAATTGCCAGAATTTGACTGGTGTTCACCTAAGGTTTGTGTAACCTCTGCCACAGCGAGTTGTGGCTAATTGGTGACATGCTTGAGTGCATAGTGGGGCATATGACTAGGAATGTGACTGAGACACCTTTTAGTATCTCATAGCTGCTGCAAGTTACTCAAACCTTACACAAACACTGGAGAATTTTGGCCAATTATCATGAATCAGTCAATAAGATAATCCAGCCTCTACCAGTCAGATGCTTTGTAGCAGCTCCAACTCAGAACTTTCAACAAGATGCATACATCAGCACGTCTAGATGATACATGGGCTTCATTGAGGTAACAAGAAGCTGTGATTTCTTGCGATGAGCATGTACTGCAGTAATCTCACGATGGTTTGTATATTATAGATTCATGCAAACCATAGTTTCCTGTACTTAGAAATGAGTAATTATTGGTCAAAATCCTGTTGTTTACTATGGTTATTCACACTATAATAGTTCTGCTGAATCAATGAAATTTAGTGTGTCAGCTCCCCCGTAAGTTCCATTGATTCACATTTGAATCCGTAGAATTTACACAGGAATTGACTTGTCAAATCCACATCTTGTGTCAGTGAGCCTACTCCAATGCAACAGGCATTTGGCCATTATCTGTTTCAGATCTGAGACAGAAGCTTCTCATCTCCTATATATGAAGGGCAGGAGGAGAGCATGTGTGAGTCTGAAGCTCACCAGAGTGAGTGTATGTAACGAGAAACCATGTTTTATTTTAATCTCTGAACCAGAGCTCTCTGGCTATAACAGCTAAGTGATTAAACATAGCCCTCCAGATGTAGAATTGAAGCATAGCTGGCTTCTTAGTAATTTACTTTTTACTAAAGGAAAAATTAATTGACGTGAACTGGGGCTGAAGTTAATGATAGGAAGAACTTTAAGAAAATTTTACAGTCAGATATTCTTTCTCGATGAAATTGACAGCTGGCAATAATGTAGACTTTACGATTTCTCCAGCACAACCAAATATCATCAAAAACCTTTCTTACCCTTTCCCAAGGGCTATGCTTGATAGAGCAGAGTGTAAGTTCTCTTAGTTGTACTGATGCCAGTGAAGCCAAAAGAAGCAAAAAGAGTTGAACCCAACTCAGTTTTGTCTCGCTAATTTCCTATAAAGAAATGGGAAATCATAACAACATTATAAGAACCATGGTGGATCAGATCACATGTCTATCCAGTCCAACATCATTTTCCCATAGCTGTCAGCAGGACATGACCAGAAGAGGATTCTCCTATTCATGTTCCACAGCAACTGGCAAACAGAGGCTCTTAACAGGCTGTTTATATTATCTTTATCATTACATCTTGTGGCAGTGAATTCTGCAGGATAATTATGCTGTTTGGAGACCTTTTTCCTTTAATTTGTTCTGCCTCTTCCACCACTGCTCTATTTTAGATGCTCCAGATTCTGATGCTACAAGAGAGGCCTCTAAAGTTATCTACCTTTTAAAAAAATAGGATACGTAAAGACTCGCTAAGCCCTTTAGAGGTTGAATCACAAACAGAAATGTCAGAAAGGCTTATGAAAGGTTGTACTTACTGGAGGAATTAGTAGGGGAGATGTCACTGTTTTTTAATTGATCCATTTTAATGAGCCAGACAGATTGGTTAGTCAGTTAATTTAACAATGTAATGTCCTGTTCTATGAGAAGAGAGGTGGGAGAGTTCTTCAATTATCCCTAGAAACATTAAGAACATCTGGACTGGGCCCAGAGGTAGACACTCAGGGGTTGGTAATTCTTGGTTAGTAGCAGGCCCACTGGCCTTTTCCAAGAACAGATAAAGAACACACAAGGGTACATGGAAAACAGCTGGCTTACATGGAGAATAAAGAAGTGCATTAGAAGCTGGCACCTCAGGAAGACTAGCATATGAATAGGTGTCTTTTCCTGTGGTTTTAGACTAGTGGTTCCCAACCTTGGGTCCTCCCATGTTCTTGGACTACAACTCCCATAAATCCTGGCCCTCACAGCTAGTGGTGAAGGTTTCTGGGAGTTTTAGTCCAAGAAAGTGGTTTAGGCATCTGGTTGTGGAGCCTGAGTTTGGAAGTTTGATTCCCCACTGTATCTTCTTGACTGGGGCTGGGACTCAATGATTCATAGAGTCCCTTTCAGCTCTGCAGTTCTAAGATGATGATAATGATGATGATGATAACATTTGGCAACCCAAGTTTGGGAACCACTGTTTTAGATTGTTTGTTCCCAAGATCAGCCAGTCAATAGTCCCAAGTGGCAGCTTTGATCATCCTATAATAAGTTAAATAATGTCAGTTTTTGATTTGTGACTGGCCTCCAGTTAGTTAGGCATCCTTCAGTCTCGAAAGACTATGGTAGCGTGCTCTGTATGGAGGGCTTGGAACAGTGCCTAGTGTGGCTGAGAAGGCCAATTCGAGAGTGACAGTCCCTTCCACACTGAAGACAAATCCAGTCTGTCCCCTGTCCGGCTCCCTGGTTTTGCTGCTTTTGTGACTTCCTCTTTGCCTCGGCCTGCTGGGCAAGGGTCTCTTCAAATTGGGAGAGGCCGTGATGCACCGCCTGCCTCCAGGCTGAACGCTCAGATGTCAGGTTTTCCCATCTGTTGAGGTCTATTCCTAAGGCCTTCAGATCTCGCTTGCAGATGTCCTTGTATCGCAGTTGTGGTCTCCCTCTGGGGCGCTTTCCCTGCACTAATTCTCCATAGAGGAGATCCTTTGGAATCCGACCATCAGCCATTCTCACGACGTGCCCGAGCCAACGTAGACGTCGCTGTTTCAGTAATGTGTTCATGCTGATAATTCCAGCTTGTTCAAGGACTGCTCTGTTTGGAACTTTGTCCTGCCAGGTGATGCCAAAAATCCGTCGGAGGCAACGCATATGGAAGGTGTTCAGCTTCCTCTCCTGCCGTGCACAAAGAGTCCATGACTCACTGCAGTACAGGAGTGTGCTTAGAACACAGGCTCTATAAACCTGGATCTTCGTATGTGTCGTCAGCTTCTTATTGAGCCATACTCTCTTTGTGAGTCTAGAGAACATGGTGGCTGCTTTGCCAATGCATTTATCCAGCTCGACATC